GGTGGCTGGGTGGGTGACTGGGTGGGTGGGTGGCTGGCTGGCTGGCTGAATGTTGGTCCCTGCTCCCTGGGGAGGGGAACGCCCCCAAATCAGCACAGGAGCCTTAGCCGTCACCAGCCTGCAGCCACCCTGGGAGCCCCGCCCAGGCCCGGCCCAATTTCTTGACTTCTGAGGCCCACCCAGAGCCACGATGGTCCACTTCACCCCCCCACGAGCGATCGGTCCTGCACCCCAAAACCTCACCTCACCAGGACACAGCCTGGCTCCACGGAGCAAGGGCTGTGCCCCCAGGGCTGAGAGGTGGAGGCCTTGGGGCCCGGTCCCACGTCCAGAGAGCCTGCCCTGAGCAGCCCCAGGCTCCGTGCCCAGCACACAACCCAACGCCGGATGTGTCTGCCTGGCAGGCTCCAAGAAGGGTGAGGCCAGGCATGGGGATGCAGGTGGTTCCAGGCTGTTTCTGTGGCAGCACCGCGAGGTCACCCCCAAAATGGAGGCTCTGCCCGCGGCCTGGCCAGCCCCCACCCCAGGACCAGGGCGGCGGGCACTCGGCACGGAGCACCAGCGGCCCCCACCCGCTCAGGGGCTCCTGGCCACCCGCACAGCCTCCCAGGCACCTAGGAGACCCTGCAGGTGACCGCCTCCTGCCCCACCCTGGCCCATAGGGAGTCCTGGACACCGGCCTGCCCCGCCTCAAGACAGGCTGTCACCTCCCAGCGCCTGGGCCTCACAGGCTGGAACCGGGGCCCCCACCAGCTGTGTGCCCACTGACAACTGGGCAGCCTGGGGCTAGCCCGGGGCCACTGGAGGGTCCACACCGGGGAGCCCCACCCCGGGCACCCACACCCAGGGCAGGGAGCAGACAGGGGCTGAAGAAGGGGGGGTGAGCCCCAGGGTGAACCCCAGGGAGGCGCTGGTAGGATGCAGTCAGACCCCCACAGGAGCACAGGTCGGGCTGCAGAGGGCTTTCTACCCCGCACTGGCAGATGGGGATCACCCACCGGGCCTCAGGGTCCCCAGCCTGCAGCCCTTCTGTGGGCTTGTGTGGCCATCTGGTGGTAGATTCTGGGACCTACGCCTGGCTGGCCTGGAGAGGATGAACCATCCTTCAGCACCAAGGAGCCACGGCCACGTGGTCTCCGCCCCCCACCTGACTCCAGGTCTCACTCACCCTTCCACGTTCACTCCTCAGGGGCAGGGATGGGCACACGAGTCGCCCCCTGCTCCCAGCGAGTGCAGGCCAGGGGCGGGGTATAGAGCAAGGTGCTTGTGCGTTCTGCACTCTGGCCCTAGGAAGGGTCTCCGGAGGTGACCCCAGCCTCAGCTGGCTGGGCTGGCTTCCCGGGCTCACTGTGGGCTGGCTCACTGTGGGCACAGGTGAGCCCAGATGGCAGGGACCCTCTCAGGGGTCTCTGGGCAGGTTCCGTCCACCCGCCCTGGGTGGGGCCTCAGCACGGCCGCCCCCCAGCCTGCAGCCCTCGGCACCCTGCTGTGACTGTGCCCCGCAGCGAGGATTTTCCTTGACACTTGTATTCTCTCTTCTGATTCTTAAATAAAAAATGTGTGCAGCGGCTGTCCAGAGGGGCTCTGAGGGAGGGAAGAGGAGTGGGCTGCCCAGCGCATGCCCAGGGAGCCGCTCAGTCACCTGGGATGGGCAGGCATGCCTCCCAGCCAGCCTCTGAGACAGACCCACTGTGGGAGGGCCCCACGGGCACCCTCTCACCCTTCAGCTGCACCCCTCTCCCAGGGCCCGGCCGGCCTGCTCCCCGTCCCTCAGGCCAGCGTGGGGCAGGGGCCCCCAGCAGGCAGCGGCCGGTGTCTACTCCCCCGCAGCGCGCCAGCCCTGGTCTGGGCCGGTCAGCCCCCAGGCTCCCCCCTACTCTGCCACTCCCGGTGGACCCGTCCTCCTGGCTACAGGTCTGGCCATGCCCTTGCACCCCAGGAGGGCACCAGACCAGCCTTGGCACCCACGAGGCCCAGCCTCAGGCCGGCGGTGTCCGTCACAGACTCGGACCCCCAGGCCCTGGGAGGACAGGATGCCCCAGGAGGAACCTGAAGGCCCAGAGACGGGGAGTCCCCAGCCTGGGGTGGCCCCAGGAAGCCTGCAAGCCCGAGGGTCTGAGGGGGGCGGGTCCGTGTCAGGGGCCTGCCCTGGGGGTGAGGAGAGGGGGCTGCCCCCAAAGGTTGTGACTAGCCCAGGGGCCCTGAGCTCCACCTTCCCAGGCCTGTTGACCCACTTGGGAAGCACACCTGGGGCCCTGAGCACTGAGGCTGGGCAGGAGGTGTGCAGCCTCCAGGCCTCTCCCTCACGGCCCCACCCTGCTCACAGCCCAGGCTCCCTGAGGCCCCCTGGCATCACGGCACCTTGGGCAGGGAGCGGCTGCCATGGCAATTGGCGTCCAGAGAGGCACGCTGCCTGGTAACAAGGGCCGTGGCTCCCCGCGATGCTCAAGCCAACCCAGCTTCCTGCTGCGGCGCAGAACTCGGCCACGGGGACTCACCCCCAGCCCCTCGTGAGCCTCCTGGGGCCTGGACTCGATTCAGGTGCGCAGGGGCACCCCCACACTAGTGAGATTTGCAGGGCGCTCTGCCATGGGCATATGTGTGTGCGCACACGTGTGCTCGGTCATGTCCAACTCTGCGACCCCATGGCCTGTCTGTGGAAATGCCATCACAGCCGGGGCTCCCTCTGAGATCCCCACCCCGGGCCACACCCAAGCTCAGGGCTGTGCTGCAAGGACCACAGGGACGGGGCGAGGAAGGTTTTGGGTGTGGGGTCTTCGGGGCTGGGTTCCAAGCCGCCAGCAATCTTCCTAGGCGGTGCACCACGGGGCTCAGGCTGTGTCCAGGAGCGGGTTCCAGGCGGCTGGGGGAGGCTCCTGTGCCATCGGGCATCCCAGGCACCCCCCCTGCAGACCCACCTAGGTGCCCGGGTAAGACTCGAGGCCTCTGCCAACAGTTCCCAGGGTGTCTTTGCTCTTAGTACAGAGGCCTCCGTCTCCATGAGGAGCTCCTCTCCCCCCATCGAACGTTCCAAAGCACCTGCTGGCTCCTGACAGGACGGTGCCCCTGCCCCACCCCGGGGGTGCCATCTTCTCCAGCGGAGAGTGAGATCAGGAGGCGTTCAGGAGGCCGTGGGGGCCTGAGCTGGGTTCCAGGCCCGTCTTTCCCAGCCCCTCGAAGCAGAGCCTGTTGCTAGTGCCCAGATGCACCCCCAGAAACACAGAGCAGCCTCCAGGGCCCAGGCCGGTATGCTCAGCTGGGCACAGCCTGTGGACGGTTCATGTCTCTTCTCTGTGGGTATCCCACATTCAGTGGGGGAGCCAGACCACCAGCAGATGAGGGGTGTTGACGGACTTCTATAGATGGGAAGAGGGAGCTGACTGTACCTGGGTGTGGACGAGGCAGGGCTGCTGACCCGGGCTGGCTAGGGGGCGGCTTGGGGGGCCACCCAGCACGTGCGAGGGTCAGCAGGTGGCAGGGGACCCACAGGCAACTCCCCGGGCTGCCCTGCTCCAGACGTCTGCCCAGAGGACTCCCCGGCTGCTAATGGGGAGTAGCAAAGCCCTTAGCCATTCCTGGCAGGAAGGCCTTCCAAAGAGAAGATCCCCAAGGAGAAGCAGCAGGAAGTGAAAGCTCCCCTCCCCCGCCCCCAAATCCACTTTGTCCCTCAAGGAGAACAGGAAGCTCTGAGAAAAGAATAGGGAGAGGCAGAGAACAACGGAGAAGTCCTGGCACGTTACAGCAGGGTCTCACACGGGGAAGGGCCTGACCTACAGGCCCAGCCTCACAGGCAAGCAGCCTGAGGTCAGAGTGAGCAGCCGGCTGATCCTCAGGGGTCTCCCGATCTAGCTCCCCATGCCAGAGGCTAAAGCAAACACCCGTCAGCCAGGCCTGGTGCACTTGGCTGGCCCCACCGGGTGGGTCTCTGTGGTCTCACTGGGCTTGTCAACCCCCTCCCAGGAGCTGGGGACCCGCCGGGATGACCAGAGCCCCCCCATCCCCATGACCTGGAATCTGAGAGCAAGGTCACAGAGGATCCACATAGCAGCGAGAAAGTCACCACCCGACACACAAGCGTTGTTCAGACCTCCTGGTAAGAGCCCACAGGCCCAAGCAGGCCCCTGGGCTAGCCCAGAGCCCAGGGTCACGTTGCCGAGGGTCAAGGACACAGGGACAGCCAGGATCTGCAGCTGTGTCCCCCACACGGGCACTCAGGTTTCCACCAACCCTCTTTTCTGAGGAAGCTGCTTGAGGATGTGCTTCTGTGAAACAAGGGAGGGAACTGAAAGAGGGTGGGCTGTGAGTTGGGGGCTCCAGGAGTGGGGGGCACTGTGGAGGGTGGGGGGTTGCAGTGGGACAGAGTGGGACATGGCATGAGGCTATTAATAGGGGAGGGGAAACCGGGGGGGGGGGGGAGGATGGGGCGCTGGATCTGGCTGGCACTCTGCAGTCCCTGAAAAGACCCCTGAAGTGGCGAAAAGCAGGCTGGACTCTGGTCCAGCCACTGAATAGGCCTTGGCCTCAAGTGGGTGACTCAACCTTGGATAACAGTCCTTGTGGGACCACTGAATGTTAAATAAATGACTTAAAAAAAAACTGGGGATTCACAGGTGAAAAGGTCAGGCTGTGGGATGATCTCTTCTGGGTGGAGAGAGGCATGGCCACCGCCTCCAGGAAGGCCTCGGCCTTGAGGCTCTCGGGTGGGGCAGGGCCACACTGGGCACCTGCTTCCGCTTGACTTTGCTTTCAGCTCGCGTCTGCGGGAACTGCTGTACAGTTTAAGGCAGTCACTGATGGGACGTGGTGGGAGGGGCCCAGTCAGCCCCACTCCGGCCACCACCCCAGCCCATTATGACCTCCCTGGTCCTGCCCAGGCCTTTGTGACAGTTGCCCCTGAGGTGCCTATGAGCCATGACACCTAGAGCTCCTTTAGTAAGAGGGTGGCAGGACAGGCCAGGCCAAAGCCTGGACCTGGGGTCAGGAAGGGGTCACAGGGAGGAATGGAGGGGCCGAAAACCCTGGGACCCTGTGGCCACACCCACCCCCAGTGCCCCCAGCCCCCAGCTCCAAGCAGCCATGGGGGGTGCCTGGACCCACCCTGCCCAGTGTTCGCCGGGTGGCCCTGCATGGTGCCTCTCAGCTCCACCCACTCAATGGAGACTGCCAGGCCTTTCTCAGCCCTGGGGACAGGGGGTGGGGGGCCCAGGGTTGGGGGCGAGGTACCCGGGAACTTCATCACAACTGAGGACGGCGAGCTGCAGCGACAGAGGCCGCGAGACCCGACAAGGATGAGACAAGGACAGACGGATGCCAGGCTGGGGTGGGGCTGGGCCCTGCACTCCAGCCGAGAGCGAGAGCAAGAGCGAGAGCAGAGGGCTTCCCGGCAGGCAGCAGGGCCCAGCTTGGGGCCCCGGCCCTGCCCATGCCCACCCCTGATCCCGGGCACAGGGGCCTCAGCCTCGTCCAGGGCAGAACCCCCCCAGCCCCAGGGCATTCCCCTGGGGCCCACAGAGCAGTCTTTCCTCCAGCTGGAGCAGGAGAACCAGAGTCTGGTGAGCACCAGGCCCCAGCCCCGCCAGACCCCATGCCCTGCCAGACCCCATGCCCTGCCAGACCCCATGCCCCACACCCAGGCCCCGCCAGACCCCACACCTCAGCCCCATCAGACCCCCAGCACAGCCGGGACCTGCCAGACCCCATGCCCCGGACCCCACGCCCCACACCCGGGCCCCACCAGACCCCACGCCCCGGCCCCGCCAGGCCCACGCCCTCTCCCCTGCGCCGCCCCAGACACAGCTGTCCCCATCTCCCCATCTCTGTGCCCCACCCCAGAAGAGGCAGAACCAGAATCTGCGGGAGCAGCTGGGGGCCCTCCTGGGGCCGGGGCAGCAGTTCCTGCCCTTGTGCCCAGAGCACTCGAGCTGTACGGCCCTGGCCTGGGTGAGTGCGGGGCGGGGCACGACCCTGGCAGGACCGCGGGTGGCTCTGCGGAGAGCCCTGTGGCTCCATGCACTCCCCCCCACCCCACTCCCAAGCAGTCCATGACCACGGACACTGCCGATGGCCTTGGGGCTGAGCCAGGGGCTCCTCCGCAGCCCCCTGAGCAGGCCTGCGCCCGGCCCCTGGAGGACAGGGCCCCTCTGCAGCTGCTGCGGCAGGAGCTGTGTCGGGGCGAGGAGTCCTTCGTGCAGCAGTCCCAGGTGGGCCGGGCGGGGGGAGGGGACGGGATGGGGCGGGGCCAGGGCTGGGAGGGGCGGGGACGAGATGGGGCGGGGCCAGGGGCGGGGCCGGGGCGGTGGAGGGTGCGAGGAGTCAGTGCTGCAGCCCCAGGTGGGGCCGGGGGCGGGGCCTGAGTGGACCGAGGGGGGAGGGGCGGGGCCGGGGCGAGGGGAGGAGTCCGTGCCGCAGTCCCTGGTGGGTCCGGGAGACGGGGCAGAGATAGGGAGGGGCGGGGCCAGGACGGGGAGGGGCGGGGCCGGGGCGGGGGGTTGGGAGGAGTACGTGCCGCAATCCCTGGGGGTCCGGGGGCGGGGCCGGGGTGGGGAGGGGCGGGGCTGGGCGGGGGGAGGAGCTCGTGCTGCAGTCCCCGGCGGCCCCGGTGTCGGGGCCAGTGAGGGGCGGGATCGGGATGGGGAGGGTCCAGGGAGGCGTTCCTGCATCAGTCCCAGGTGATCCTGGGAGCGGAGCCGGGGGCGGGGCCAGGCCGGGGCGGTGGGGAGGAGTTCGTGCTGCAGTCCCTGGTGGGCCCGGGGGGGCAGGGCCGGGGCGGGGCCGGGATGGGGTGGGGGGAGAGGGGCGGGGCGGGGGAGGGGTCCGTGCCGCAATCCCTGGGGGGCCCGGGGGCGGGGTGGGGCGCAGTGGAGCGGGAGCCGACCACCCTCCAGCCCTGCCTCGGCCCACACTTCTCCCCCTCCCCAGAACGAGCTGCAGCAGATCCGACTGTCCTTTGAGAGGAAGAAAATGGCTATCACCGAGGTGCCACCTGCAGGGGTGGGTGGGGGCGCCGGGCGGGGGCTCCACTGTGGAGAGGGGCGTCCAGCACGGGTCCTGCTCCATCCTGAGGGCGTGACCCAGCCTCGCCCCTCCCACCAGGTGTGGGACGGCGTGGCTGAAGTACACATGGCCCTGAACAACCAGGCCACTGGGCTCCTGGTAGGTCCCCAGAGGCTTGACGCCAGAGGATGAACGGGCGGGGACAGGGCGGGCGAACAGGACCCCCATTTTACCCTCTCTGGCCCCCAGAACCTCAAGAAGGACATCAGGGGCGTGCTGGACCAGATGGAGGACATCCAGCTGGAGATCCTGGGGTGATGTGGGGGCTGGAGGCCCAGGGGCGGGGGCTGGCTGAGCTGCGACAGTGTCTGGGTCAGGGTGCGGTGGACCCGTCCCTGACCGGTCCCCAGTTCCCCAGCGCCAGGGCAGTGGTGCGGGCTGAGGACGGGGTATACCTATGGTGCTGACTGCAGCACTCCCGCCCCCCCCCCCCCCCCCAGGGAACGGGCCCAGTGTCGCACTCAAGCCAGGAAGGACCAGAAAATGGCATGCAGAGGGGTAAGCCCCCACCCCCACGCCCCACCCCCCACCGTCCCAGAAGCCGCGCTCGGGCAGCGGGGGAGGAGCTGGGTGAGTAGGCCTGCCCTGACCTCAGGGGCTCGGCCCCTCCTCCGCAGAAGGCACAGCCGCAGCTGGGATGCTCCGAGGGCCTCAGAGGCCAGCTCTGGTAGGTGGCCCAGCCGGCGCAGGGACCGAGCCCAGTGCCCAGAGCCCATCCCCGGGCGCCCCGCCCCCTGACCACCGCCGCCCGCAGGCTGCTGGCCCTGAGGCTGCTGCTGGGCGCCCTGCTGGCCTGCACCGCCGCCTACGTGTACGTGGTCGACCCCGCGCCCTTCGAGGGGCTGGTGCCGCCCCTGCTGAGCCGCGCCGCCGTCTGGAAGCTGCGGGCCCTGCTGGGCCCGTTCCTGCGCCTCGAGGTGGACGGCTTCCTGCCCTTCTAGGCCGGAGGCCCAGCGGCCCCAGCGAGGAGGAAGCCAGCAGGCCGGCGCGGCCCCCGGCGCCCAGCGGCCGCGCCGGCCCCCGCCCACGGCACTGCGGCGCACCGTCCCCGCCCGGAAGCTTGGAGAAGGGAGGGGGCGGGGGCTGTCCTGAGGGCTGGGCCTGTGGCCGGACATATAGTCGTGACTCTCCGCCCGTGTGCTTGTTTCCATGGATACCGGGGCGGGCGCTGGAGGCTATGACGCCTTCCCGGGCTGATCTTGCAGCGAGGGTCCCCGGGGTGGCGCCCCTGTCTGGCATCCCTCGCCCACCTGCTGCGGGGGCAGCCTCTCCGCAGCCCCCTTGCCACCAGGAAGGGGGAGGGAGCCCCAATGAAAGTGAGCTCCTCAGGCCTCGTCCCCAGGTGGGCGGACCTCGGGGAGCAGGTTCTCTGCCCCACAGGTGCTGCTGAGCCCAAACACAACCCGCGTCCCTGTCTGTCCTGCCACCCACCTCCCACACCTGCCCAGCCACCGCCCAGCCCACTCCCTACCCCGCCCCCCCCGTACCTGTTTACCTTCCCAACCCAGGGTCCCTGTCCAGTCCAGGCTTGAAGGACAGGGGGACCATGGTGGTGGACAGAGCCATGGAGGTAAAACACCAAAGATTTTATTTACTGCGTTAAACTGGGGTGAGGGAATACCTTTTAGAACAATAGAGACCAGATTTGTGGCTGCTCATCCCCACGTGAGAGAAACAGAGCTCTCTGCTGGCAAGGGGGGGACGGGTGCCAACCAGGGCCCTGCCCCGCCTCTGGGGGCGTCGGGGGGGTGCCCAGCTGGCTAGGGGCTGCAGGGCTGGGGGTGGCGGGGCTCTCTGAGCACCCCAGGTGTGCAGAGGAGGGAAGACCATTGGGGCAGGGCTGGTGGGCTGGGGTCTCCTCTGGCTGGCTGCTGCAGGAGCTTAAGGCATCCGTTCATGTGCAGGGTGCAGGGGGAGGGGGCAGTGCAGAGACCTGCAGGGGCCGCCTGAGACCCCCGCCCAGCCCGGCCCAGCCCACAGAGGCCGGGCTCCCTGGGAAGGAAGGGACGCGTAAAGTGCTTGGTCAGGCAGGGGGTCAGGTGCAGGGGCAGCAACAGCCCAGAAGGCTGTGGTGGCCCCAGCAGCTCTGGGGCCCCCGCCCGGGGGGTCTGACCCTCTGCAGCAGGCAGGGGCCTCCTGAGCCGGGAGGGTGCAGGGTCATGGGCCCTGGCAGGCTAGGGGTCAAGTCAAGCTGTGGCTGGTGGAACGGAGGCCCCCCGGGGCCCCTAGGGTCCACGGCAGCCCGGCCCTCTGGGGCCCCAGAGTGGCCTACTTGCTGTCCCGCTCAGGCCCCGAGAGGCTGGGGAAGAGGCTGGAGGCAGCCAAGTGCAGCCGGCACACGGCCCCCCGGGGGGGCACTCCTGGGGCTGGGCTCCAGGGGGCCCGCAGCGGCGGGTGGTCCTCTGGGAGGCCGAAGTGGCACAGGTGCAGGCCGGGGGGCGCCCAGGGCTGGCCGCGCCGCCCCCATCCACGGCTGCAGGTGCCGATCCAGCCCCTGCAGGTCGCAGCGTCCAGTGAGAGAAAAGCAGAAAGGCGGAGGTCAGCAGGCCAGGCCCTGCCCCGGGCCTCCAGTCCCCGAAAGGCGGCAAATTCCCCCCACCCCGCCCACCACGCGTCTGAGGAGGGGCGCGGGGACTGGTCCAGCTGCCCGACATCCCAGCCCACAGGCACCCTGTGCTCGGGGGCCCTGGGGTGGCTCAGCCCAGCCCCCGAGACACCCTGTTACTGCCGGGGTGACACAGACACGGGGGGCCACACACCCCTGCCTGGCTTCCAGCCTGGTACCGGTCCAGGAGTGCCCACACAGAGCAGACAGGCTGCCAGCCCCTCTCCCGCAGCCTGAGCACCTTTGCCCCACCCGGAACCCTCGTCTTGCTCAAGGAAAGGACCCAAGTGACTTTTTCTTTTTTTAATAAAATTATAGATATATAGATGTAGATATAAAAACATAGAACAGACACAATGCAAGCGGACGCTGCCGTGTGCTTACTCTCGGGTCCCTGGCACCAGACGAAACTCCGAGCCCTCCCGATGTGCTTCCCACGTGGGCCCCAGGCTCCAGCGGGGCCTGGGCTTTGCGTGCCTTGGGTGGGGGTCTTCAGTTTGCAGGGAGGGGGCATGGGGTGGCCTGGGCCCCGAGGAATGGCGTCAGGCCTCCTGTCTGCTCCCCCAGCCCCTGTCGCCTCCCACAAGAGCATAAAGCAGAGGTTAAGGCTTCAATTAAAGCGTGTTTCCAGGCAGGATGGGGGAGGGGGACGGCAGGGGCCCGAGCGTTGACATGTGGGACACGGCATGGCAGCTCAGAGCACAGACGTGGGGACGCGCCCACCAGTGGGGGCGAGACGAGACACACGGAGCCAGGACCCCACCCACAGCTGGCTGTCTGTCTGTCTGTCCGTTTGTCCACCTGTCCATCAGAATAGCTGGGTGCCGTGGGCTGGGCCCGTGCTCCCTGCGAGAGAACTGGCCATGCCAAGCTACAAGCTTGCAGCAGGTCCCTGAAAGGCAAGGGGTCGGGGCAGCCGGGCGGCAGGGCCCTTGGCCAGGGGCTCAGGCCTCTCTGTCCGTCTCTGGGCCATGGGGACCCGCGCGGAAGGGAAGCGGGTAGGGCCGGCCGGGTGACAACCTCAGGGGCACAGGCGCGCTCTGTGCCCCTCGCCGCCCCAGCTCACAGGAGCAGGACCACCAACACACAGGCCTGCAGCCCCACGGCGCCTGATGAGCAGGTGCGGACGAGTGGCCGAGGGACAGGCTGTGGAGGCGTGGCTTTCCTCGCTGAGGCGTCTGAGCCAGGCCTGGGCCCCCTCTCCAGGGGCAGAGAAGCTGGGAGGGGTGCCGCGGGGGGTCGTGGTTCCCATGGCGCTCAGCGACGGGGGGGGGGGGGGGGGGGGCAGTCGGTCCTCACACAGAGATCTCGTATGTGGTCCCACCCACGCCGGACACCTTCTTAACCAGCGTGTGCCGGGCGGGGCTGGCGGAGGGCCCCGGGGGGCCGGGGGCAGGCCCCAAGCGGGTCAGACCCGGGGACTGCCCATTAAGCTTACTTGGGGGGGTCTTCAGCTGAGGGTGGTCCCTGCATCGAAACAAGCAGACACGCGCACACGTGAACACGGGAACACGGCAAAACACAGCCAGCAGAGGCAGTGGACAGAGGACACAGAGAGACGGAGCCCTGGGCCACCCCTGCCCGAACCTGGACACCCCCACGTGGAAATGGGGGTCGGGGGTAGAGGACAGACATCTGTCCGAACAGCCACCCTCCCTTCCCAGGCCGCTCGGCACAGACCAAGAGCACAGGGAGGCCAGGGAGACCCCGGCCAGTTCATCTGTGTCCTGGAACCCTGAACTGAGGAGCCTGCAGTGACCCTGGGTGACCCTCTGGCCTCCTCCTCGCTCCCTCCGAGGAAAGCAAGGGGCTGTCCTTCGGCCCTGCAGCCACTGGGCGCTGAACAATAGCGTGGACCTTGCCACCTGCTGAGCCTGTCACCCAGCCTCCACCCCACACCCAAGCCTCCCTTTGCCCGTCTCTGAGCAGGGAAACCCCCCGAAGGCCAGGACCATGGTGCCCAGAGTGCACGTCTCGCAGTGGGATGACATCCCCCTGACTTGGCCTTCTGAACATGGACAGATGACCGTCTCTAGAAGGACCTGGGATGCCCCACTCACTGGGTCTGTCAGCCCGGGAAGAGTGCAGGCTTGGCTCAAGGTACAAAATCGCCTGCACCCCCACCCTAGGGTGTCCAGGGCATCCTTGGAGCCGGCGACCCTGACTCTGGCCAGCAGGAGCCTCCAGGCTGGGTGAGGCCCACCCCTCAGGGTAGCCTCAGGCCTCCTGGGCAGCCCCCCAGCCAAGAGCCCCGCAGTCCCCTACCCCGTGTCCGGTGGCCGGCCGCACCCCCAGCACCCACCTCTGCACAGCCAGCGAGGGCGGTGGTTCCGGGAGGTCTGCGTGGATGAAGGCGACAGCCTTGGGGCCAGCATAGGAGGGCGAGCAGGGGGTGCCAGGTGGGGACGGGGGCACCTGGTGCACTGGCGACCTGTGCGGGCCGCTGGCGGGCCGGGCCCCTGGGCCGCCGCTAGTGGCCAGGTCTGCCTGCAGGGAGGAGGAGGAGGTCCGTGGTGCCCGGCTCACCGCACTGGACAGCGAGGACAGCGAGGTCTGCAGCGCAGGGTTGCGGGCGCCCCCAAAGCCAGGCCCGGCCACCAGGTCGTCCCGGGAGCTGCAGCGCAGCCCGGGGCCGCGGGAGCCCTCAGACAGCACGCCGGCCTGCTGCAGGCTGTAGGAGCTGGGCGTGTCGTAGACACCCGAGTCGCCGAAGAGCGAGTCGGCCTGAGAGCGCAGCAGCCGCTCCCGCTCCTCCCTGTCTTTGCGCTCCTGGATGGAGGCCATGATGGTCCGGGACAGGTTGTCGTAGCGCACTGGCGAGGGCTCCCGCTGCCGCGGGCCCAGCACCGGGCTGAAGCTGCGGGGCGGCGGCCGTGGCGGGTCGCCTGGCACCCCTGCGTGCAGGTAGGGTGAGCGGTAGCTGGGGGCGCCGGCTGTGGGGTGGGCTGGGCAGGCGTGGCCCCCGGGGGAGCCGGGGTTCAGCAGGCTATCGTAGGACAGGCTGCCGTTGCGGTTGGGCAGCGCGTGGGGGGCAAAGAGGCTGCGGTGGGGCGTGGGGGGCCCACCCTCGGAGCGCAGGGGCTGCAGGGCCACGTGGTCCCCGCCCCGCCGACTGGCCGCCTTGAGGCTCAGGGAGCGCAGGGCGCCTGAGAAGGTGTCGGCCGCGCTGAGGGGTGGGTAGTCGGGCAGGTCCAGGCTGGGCTCCGATGCAAAGTCCAGGCTGTGGATGCTGTCCTCCCCCAGTGTCAGGGAGTCGGTGCCCGTGACCTGCAGGGAGAGAAGGCACGTCCACGTCTGCCCACTCCGGGCCCTGCCAGATGCCCTGTGCCCTCTGGGAAGCTGCCATCAAGTGGCGGCAGGTGCAGCAACAAGCTGCTCCCAGAAGCCCTCGGTCCCCTCGCCCCAGGAGAGAAGGGGCCCAGGGTGGGCACGGCAGTGTGGGTGGCCTCAGGGCACATGGACAACCAGCCAGACCCTCCATGGGATCCAGGACAACCCCAGGAAAGAGACGACCATTCCAAGAAGGGCCACCGGACCGTGGCTAGGCAGGCCATCAGTCCTGGGGGAGTTCCCTGGGGGTCCGGACGTGCTGGCCCACCACAGGCCTGCCCTCCAGTGGCCATGAAAGAAGCATGCAGCCCAGGGACCTCAAGGCTCTTGGCCTCTGCTCACGCGCCCACCGCTCCACGTGAAAGCAGAGAATAAGTGTGCTTTCTCAAACAATCTCAAATTCCTCTGAAGCCTTCGAGGGGGCCCTGAAGGCCTCAGGCGGTGACTAACGTGGAATTCCAGGAGCCCCGCACACAGTGCTGCCGGGGGCAGCGCCCACTGAGGCCCGGGAAACACCGCCGAGTCAGCAGGTAGGCAGGCCAAGGGCCAGAAGAACCAGGACACCCTGCCCCAGCTGGCACGCTCACACCTCTGTGACCCAGGAGGGGTCTTCAGGAGTGCCGCCTGGGGGCGGGGCCTCCTCGGGTAGGAGCTCCTGGGGCGGGGCCTCCAGGGGAGGGGCCTCCTCGGGTAGGAACTCCTGGGGCGGGGTCTCCTGGGGGCGGGGCCTCCTGGGATAGGAGCTCCTGGGGGCGGGGCCTCCTCAGGTAGGACCTCCAGGGGCGGGGCCTCCTGGGCGGGGCCTCCCGGGCAGAGCCTCGGGAGCCCGGGCGGGACCAGGCCTCACCTGCTCAGCCGGCCCGCAGAATGGCGCCTTGGGACCCGTGGGAAAGGCGGGCCGGAACTTGTACATGGCAGGTGTCGGGGGGCTGGTCCTCTGCGCCGACAGGGCGCTCTCTGGAGGAGACGGGCAGCGGTCAGGCTGGGATCGCTCGGCGCCCCTTCCTCCCCTCGGGTGCTCCCACCTCACCAGCACTGCCCGGGCGCGGGGTCTGCAGGTCGCTGCCAAACGTGCCGGCCTCCACCTTAGGGGGCAGTGGCGGCCCCAGGTCCAGGGGCTTCTCATCCAGCCGGTCCAGGCTGCCCTTGGACTGGAAGGGGATATGGTCAGTGGTGTGCAGGGTACAGTCCAGGGGCAGGGCTTTATCGGGGACTCCATCCTGCGCCAAGGACCCTGACCCTTCCTTTGTTCGGCTCGGTCCTCTTCCTTCTACTTCGTGGTCCCGCCAACCTGGCAGCTTCCCGCCGCTCCCCATCCCCCGCCCACCCCTGGGCGCCCACCTTGCTGCGGCCCAGGCCAGCCTTCAGCCCATTGTCACTAAGCTTGACCTTGAGCGGTGGCGCTCGCTCCAGGAGCTCCGGCCGAAGGAAGGGTGGCTTCAGGCGAGCAGCCAGCGGCAGCCGGGGCGGCTCCACCACATACCTGCGCCAGGGCAGAGAATCAGTGGCCAGGGCGGCCCCGCTTGAATGCGTGCCGAGGGGAGGGCCTGCCAGGCCAGAGCAGATTGGATGGGCTGAGAGCCTCACCGGGGCGCCAGGGGGCTGCACAGCACATGTTCCACGTTCCCGTAGCAGCCGCGGGTGAAGGGGTTCACGCCCCCACGGAACTTCCCTGTCACCTGTGGATATGGAACCCCTCAGCCGGCCTGGCCACCCAGGGTCTAGCCAAGGAGGGGAGGATGACACGCAGGGACGGCGGGGTCCCTCAGAGGTCAGTTGGGCAGCGTCAGCCCAGGGGTGTCCCCCACCTAGGTCACCAGGACCTGCCCCTGCATGCAGTGGAACTTCTAGGTTCTGATTCACTGATGGCCGCAGTGGCCACCAATGGGGGTGTGGAGGGGGACAGGGCAGGCGAGACCCTATATGCCAAACCCCACTGGGGGCTCCAGGGCCAGAGCCTTACGTGCCAAACCCCACTGGGGGTTCCAGGGCCCAGAGCCTTCCCCAGCACTGCTGTGCATCAGCCAAGGGCCCCCAGGCTCCTGCTCTGACCACGATCCCGCACGTCATCGTATGGCCCCGGGTCCTTGCTCAGCCTGTCAGGGACCCGCCCACGCCCATCCTCATCAAGAATGCACGCCCCCCCCCAACCCAGGTCTGCACCTGCTCATTGGTGGTGCGGCCCCGAGTGACCAGCACCACGTGGAAGCCCGTGAGGCCGACGACAGGGATGAAGAAGAGGCCAGCCACACACATGACGGCCATGCTGGCCCGTTAAGGCCAACGGCCGAGGGCGAGGACGGAGCAGCTGCCTGTGGACAGACGGCCCAGGCCCTCCCCACCACCCACTCAGGGAAGGTGACCCACACCCCTGGGGCTTCCAGGCTCTGCCCCAGCCCTCTGGGCCTCGACTTCCCCGTGAGATGTGTCCCCAGTCCACACCGCCTTTGTGGTCAGGCCAAGGATACGTGATGGTGGTGTGGGCAGCGCCCAGCCCCTCCGCGTGGTTCAGCACGTAGACCAGCCCGAAGGCGACGACGCCCACCATGTGCGCGCTGAGCGACAGCAGGAACAGGAAGAAATAGCGGTAGTTGCGGCGCCCGATGCAGTTGTTGACCCAGGGGCAGTGGTGGTCGAAGTCCTGGGCAAGAACAGCACGTCAGCACTGCGGGGGCGAGGCAGGGCGGAGGCAGGACCGCAGGCCGAGCAGAGGAGGGGCGGGGTGGGGCGGGGCAGGAGGGGCGAGCAGTCACCTCCACGCAGTTGTCGCAGACGCTGCAGTGGGAGCACCGCGGCGGGCGGTAGAAGTGGCAGGTGGCGCACCACTTCATACGGACCTGGATGCCCCGCACATCCACGTTCTTGTACAACGGGGCCCGGAAGTCATCCTCCTTGTCCTCGTCCTCATCCGCTGCAGGCCGGGGGCGGCAGGAAAGTGACCGTCCTGGCAGGAGAGGCCAGCCCCTCCCCAGCCAGTCCGCTCCCGGCCGGCTCGCCCTTGTTAGCCACTCACACTCGAGCGAGCGGGGAGCCGCCCCGCACAGGGCCCTACCTCGGGGGAAGACGCCAGGGTCCATGAAGGTGGCCATGCTGAAGTTGGCCAGGACAAAGAGGAAGAGGATGCCATTGTAGACGGGGACGGCTGGGGACACGGCGCGTGTCAACCATGGGCACCTGTGTCGGACAGCAGGGCAGAGCTGGGTCTGGGGGGTGGCAGGTGTGTGGGGAGGGGACGTGGGGCAGCGGCCTTAGGCCACACGCGTGTGGCACTCTTGGTGGCCACCGGAGCCAGCTCCAACCCAGCCACCCCCGAGCGCCTGCCAGGAACTCAACTCCCAGTTGAGGAAACTGAGGCTCAGATAAGGGCAGGAGGGGTTGGCCAGAGCCAAGTCTTGTCCTACCACCCCTGTTGGGAATCTTTCCTGGGTCCCCTGCCCCAGGAGGGGTGGACACAGACAGGGGGTGAGAGCCCCTCTCTGCCTATGCACGCTGATGGGCAAAGGCCAGTGACCCGCTGGGCAGCTCAGGCCAGCCCTGGGCCTCACCCAGACCTGTCCCCGGCCTGGCAGGCCCCTGTTTCCAGGGAGATTATGGGGTGTGATGTGAAGGGCTGCCTTCCTGGGTCTGTAAATGCATGGTGGGGAGGGTGCATGCTGTTCCCTGTGGGGTGTGGTCTCAGGGCCTGGGTCCAGGTGCATCCGCAGCCAGACAGCCTTGTCTCATTATTTTATGTATTTGTCTGTGGCTGTGTCAGGCCTCAGTTGCATGGGCACGCAGGATCCAGGCGTGCAGGCTTCTCCTTGTCGAGGCATGCGGGCTCAGTAGCCGCGACCCGCAGACTGGGCTGCTCTGCAGCAGGTGGGACTCAGCTCCCCAAGCAGGCATCGGATCGGCGGGCGGATCCTCAGCCACCAGGCCCCCGGGGGCCCTCGCCCCTTCTTCCTAGTGTCACCTTTCTCCCCTCAGGGCAGTACAGACTTCCTGTGGACTCTGAAGGCACAAGCCCCCTACCCCTTTGCCATCTCTCTTCACCCCTCCGCACTGGGCTCCAGGGCTGTCCCCTTTACCAGTAAGCCTTCCCAGACTGCTGGCTCCCTGTGGAGGTCTTGCACACGTCCTCGGTGGATGCTCTGGCACCAGAGTGTCTTCCTAGCCTTCACAGGACCTGCCCGCAGCCCTCTCTGAGGATGTGCCTGGCCTCAGGCAGTGGCCTGGGGTCCCTGCCCCCACCCTTGGCGGGTCCCCGAGTCTCCCCACCAGGCTACCCTGAAGTGCCTCTGGCTCCAGGCTCCCTGTCCCTCCTGTGCTGAGTAAGGGGTGCTCGGTGGGTCCACTCCTCACACCCAGGCCCTGCATGCAGGCCAGGAGCCCCCGGGATCCCCGACACTGGCCCTGGGCACAGGCCCCATGGCCACGCGTGAGCGAGTCGTGCGGCGGCCCTGGCCAGCCCGCACCAGGCACACTGGCACCCAAGCCTGCCTTGGCCGGCTGCCAGCCCCGCCACCCCAGCAACCACCTCCGTGCGGGTGGAACTTCTCTATTTTTAGTGGAAAGCGAGAGGCTATTTAAAGACTCTGCTCCCACGGCAGCATGCTGGGCGGGCTGGGAGCCGCGCGTCACCCCTTCCTCTTCTCCGGGACCCACCATTGAGGTGACACACAGCCCGAGGACACAGCGTCTGTGTGCCGGGCGGCCCGCCTCCACCGTGCCTACCCACGGCTGGGAGCAGACGCCTTCCCTATGCCCATCCCTGCATGCCAGCCCGGGCATGCAGGTGGTGCTCCAGCAGGTTTGTGGCCTCCAGTCCAATGCCATTTGGAGGGTCGGTGGTGGGCCCCGGAGGCGTGCCCTGCACAACAGGGTGGGAAGGGCTACCGGCCCAGATGCCAGTGGAGACACAGAGCCAGGCCCGGCCGGGACCGGGGACAGGTGGGCGCGGTAGACCCACCCTGGCGCAGAGAACTGGCTCCCCATGCGCCTTCTGGAGATGGCCGGCCACAGCCTCCATGCGAAAGGAAATGTGCTCTCCTGCGCTGGTACCATGGGGGAGCCAGCCTGCTCCGGAGGAAGGGGCCAGGGCGGGGAACAGACAGACACGCGGCCGCAAGGTGCAGTGGGATGGCGCACCTGTCAGCCCCACTTCACCGCTGGGGGCAGGTATCAGGGTCATCACCCCACCCCTGGCGGCCCATGCCGCCCTGTCCTCCCTGAGCCTCCGTGGCCCTGAGCGGCAGCGGGGCCCAGGCGAGAGCTGCAAGGCGGCAGAGCCATGCTTGCTGGATGGCCTCTGCCCTGGACGGGCACCGCCCGCCCCCCCAGCGCCCGTGGGCAGCATGTCCCAGGGGAGGGCAGGGTGCAGCTTCAGCGAGGGTGGGGCAAGCCTGGGGGGACACAGGTTTTCTGACAAGGGCCTGAGCCCCCTCCATTTACCGTCTCCAGTCCCCCAGGCTTGACTCGAACACAGGGTCAGGTGTTGCCCTGCACCATGGCCCCCGTCCTTCCGCTCGCAGCCTCCACCCCAGATGTGCCAAAAGGGGTCTCAGGCCTGGGTCCCCCACAGGGACCGGCTCAGTCACCAGTGCTGCCAGGACCCAAGAACAGCTAAGCCGGGGAGAGGACGAAAGAGCACACGTTCCTGTGAGCACGCACACACGCACATGTGTGTGGACACTGCATAAGCACGCACACACACAGGACAAGTGCAACACGACAGCCAGGTGTACACTGACGTGTGTATGGACAAACACACTCATGCACACAGGACATGTGATCAACACGACAGGTGTGTGTCCTGACGTGTGTACGGACAAGCACACTTGTGCACACAGTGACACATCCATACCCACAGACATGGACGCAGACACGTCCCCCTCCGGTGGAACCCCGTCCGCTCCCTGTGGGCCGGGCAAGCATGAGGAGGGAGTGAGGAAGTACATGCTTGGTGGGCAAGGCCTGGCGGGCACTGCCCGGGCATTTGAGTCTGAACCGGGCTCCAGGGGGACCTCTTGGCCCTTGGGACGACCCCCACCCCCAATCCCCCGGGGAACGGCATGCTCCAGGCCCCCCCTGTCAGCTGGGGGTTGGACACTGCCCACCAGGGCAGCCACGCTGCGGGCCCGGGCCGTCCCCCACCTCCCGTGACCCCACCTGGGCCCACAGGAGGCCCCACCCAGCAGGATGGGGGTTCCACAGGGTAGCAAGCAGACACGGCTAAATGTGGAATGGAAAATTTTAGCTCAGACGTTTTCATTTAAATCGGATTCTTCATTAACATTGGCTAATGAAGCTCAGGCACGGGGCAGCCGGGACCAGAGGGTGGGTGATCACTCTGCCCTGGTCCAGCCAGGAGGGCCTCTGGCGTCCTGCACCCACCCCACGGACCCCCGAGCAGAGGAGGAAGGTGCCTCAGGGCACCTGGGCTCCTCAGGCCACACTCAGCAGGTCGTGGCAGGGGGCTCACCTCTCCCTGCAGCCCCTGCCAGCGGCCCCGTCCACGTGGGCCCGCCGCAGGCTGGCTTGGTCCTAGGCCGGGCCTCATGGCCCAACTGGGCATAGGGACCACTCAGGTCCATCATGCTGACCCTCATCCAGAGGGGAACCCAGTGCGTCCAGAGAGACAAGACAGCCCAGCCCCCACGTGGGTCCCGGCCCCACAACACTGGCCCTCTGATGCTCACAGGGTCCCCGTCACTCTGCAGGGTGGCTCCAGGAGTGGGAAGGGGCGGGGCAGGGACCTGGCCTGGGGCTCTCAGACCCCTCCCAGCACCTAAACCGGCCTGGAACTGAGCCTTCTGGTGCCCAGGGGGACAGGACTGCTCTGAGAACCCAGGAAAGCTTCCTGGAGAAGGGCCACCAGGAACCTCCCCTGTGGCATGCTACCCTTCCTCAGCGGGGGGAACCCCACCTCTGGGCATGCTCACCATGCCCCAGCCTCTCCTGGTGACAGGTCTGAACGTCCTGCTGGCCAAGCCGCTTAGCCGGCTGGCCCAAGGCAGGGGTCCCCGGCTCCCTCAGCCTGGGCTCCCACTCCGAGCCACACCAGGAACTGCTGTCTGCACCGACCTGCCTCAAATGGGCAGCTCGTATTTCCTGAGCTCAGAGAGAGGCTGGGGGCCCCAGCGTCCAGCAAAGTCCAAGAGGCAGAGAAGACAAGAGTCCCGATCCCACAGGGGCCTGAGGTGGGGTGAGGAGGGCTCCGGAACGGGGGTCGGGCTCCACGCAGGGCCTGGGACCAGAGCTAGGGGGACACGAAGCCTGTCCAAGAAGGCACTGCCCGGCCCCCTGCCCGCCCAGAATGGACCACTGCAGACAGCATCACTGGGCCTGGGTGGCCTGGCAGAACCCTCGCAGAACTGCACCACCTTGGTGGAGCCCAGGCGGACTGGGCTGAGAGCAGGCCGGGTTCCTTGATGGTCACTTGGCCAAGGAGCACGGCCCGGGGGTGCAAGGAGGGTCCCCGGGCAAGAGGACTGCTGCGCCTGGACCCGGCCCACACCCGTGTCCTTCTGCAAGGAGTTGCCCTGGGGCGCTGAGCACAGAGGTAGGGCAGGGACCTTGCACGCCCGCCCCCGGGGGTGGGGCCATCGGGACCCTCTGAAATCAAGGGAAACCACAGGACAAGACCCCTTCCTTGGGGGGTCAGGGTACTCTGAGCAGGAGAGGGGATGGTGCTGAGCTCAGCTTCTTGTTAAACTTTTCCCTTGCATCTCCCAAGTTCTCACCAAGAACACGAATTCCTTTTAAAGTCAGAAGGACTAACGCTGAATTGCACCTGGGGGTGAAGAACCAGGACCAGCGAGCGGAGGCCAAGCTGTGAGGAAGCAGGGCTGAGGCTCCCCCGGGGACCCCTGCCCGGGCCCAGAGGCCAGAGCAGGGAGCCCGTCCCCCAGAAGCCCCTGCAGGACATGTTCCCCCTCGGCCCGCGCCCGCTGCCCACAGCCAGCAGCATCTCAGTGACGAGAACACGTCTGCGCGCCAAAGCCAGAAATAAGCCCATCCACACAGCCTTTTTTAAACATGCTCCTGGCAGCCTGTGGTGCCCACCCAGCCCAGTAGGGCCCACTCGCCTGTAGGCACCCAATGCAGCCTGGTCGGCCTCGGACCACTGCCCACACCCCTGCCGAGGGGAAAGGGTGCCTGGCTGACAGCAGTCAACCCAAGCCTCAGGTCCCCAGGAAGGCCAGAGCGGTAGTTACTCCGGTCATCTGGCCATGTCCCAGTCTGGAAACTGTGGCAGGAGGTGGCCGCAGACCTGAATGGCTGAAGCCGGGGTCCCCAACCACTCCCTGTGCCTGGGGTGGGGGGCAGGGGGCGGGGGCAGGGGGCAGGGTCACCACAATGCAGACGGAACCTTGTCATCAGCACCTGCCTGGTGTGCACCAGCCCAGGACCGGCCAATCCCCTGACTCAGGGTCCCAGTGCCCATGGAACCAGTGTCCCTGGGTGTGGCCTGGTCAGGCCCTTTGGCCATGACCATTGGGCCTTCCTGAGGAGGTCAAGGGAAAGAGGAGAGCAGTACCAGGCCAGCGTCGGTGGTGGCCATGGGGCAGGCACGTGGCAGCCGGGCCAGGCCACACCTACGCGGGAACAACTTGGCTGTGGCCTGGGGCCAGATGTCCGGGAGGGCACCCGGGAGCCACCATCCACTGTTTGCAAGCAGGGCTGGTGGCCCTGGGTGGCCGTCGTCCCCTCACGGGCCCACGGGGAGGGCAGGGCTGCAACCACACCCTGTGCAGACCCACATGCACTCTGCTGCCCCGGGGCAGGCACCTCGCACCCAGGGGGGCTTGCCTGGGCACTGGGCGGGGGGCAGGGGGGGGGTGCGCCTGCCAGACCCCAGGGTCCTCACACCCAGGACTCACCTGGCCCTGCCTGGCTCCCAGCATCAGCCTTGGCCCAGGGTGGAGGCTCGCGGCACCCACAGCCCTGTGCCCCCTGCCAGGCCCAGCCCACTGTCTGGCCCCGACGGGGTCCAGTCCCACCCGGCGGCGTCCAGCACCCTGCGCGCAGCCCTGCCCCTTCTGGCCCCGGCGCCCGCCGCGGCCGACTCACGTGAATACGAAGAACAGGGTGCTGGAGCCGACCAGCAGCGCGGCCGCCGTGGCCACCGGGATATACTTGGCGGGTTTGAGGCGCGTCCCGGGGCTGCGGGGCATCCTGGGTGCCGCGCCGCCGCATCCCTCCCCGGGGCCGGGCGGGCGGGGCCGGCAGGACGGGCTGGACCCGGCGGCGGCGGCGGCCCGGGAGGAAATCCCACCCCGCGGGCGCGGCGGCGCGGCGGCGTGCTGATGTCAGCGCGCCCCTTAAGGTGGACCGGCGCGCGGGGCCAGGGGCCAGGCGGGGCCCCTCGCCACCGCCGCCCAGCCTGCGCTCCCCAGCCTTCGCTGGGGGCGGGGCTGGGCTCGGACCGTCCTGCCGGGGGAGCCCCTCCGGGCCACTGTAGCCAGGAACCCACGACCCTGGAGGGCTGCTGCGGGCCCGCGCACCTGGGGTCTGGTCCATCAGGGTTCGCGCTGCCGCCAGGCCCCAGGTCTGGCCCACGGGCTCTGCGCGGGGCCCTTTTGGCGCAGACCTTTCCCTGAACACCTCCAAGCTCCTGCTGGGCAGGGCCAGGCCCCTCCTGCCTGGAGCACCCCCCTCCTGCCCCGGGACATGTCCAAGGGTGGCCGATCGTGAAATGGCAGGGCACCTTAGTGGTTTATTCGTTGCCCATTTCATAGCCCCTGAGCCAGACGAGAGGGTGGCGGCCTGCAGGGTAAGGAGGGCGGGGCGCTGGCCCTCCCTCCCCTGTCCCAGGCTACAGGCCTCAGGGGAGAGTGGGGCACCCTGCCCCTGCCTAGAACAGGACGCCCCTGGGCAGGCTCACCCCCTGCAGGAAACCCCATCTCCGGACCCCGCAGCTGCCACTTAAGGTGGACCTGACCACAGTGAGGTCGGGCCAGCCTGGGTCCTCTCCCAAGCGGGAATCCATGCGGGGGCGGGAGGTAGGCGCCGGGCCTGCTTCTCTGTGGCCAGAACCCTGTGCAGCCCTGTGCCCGGGCCACTCCGGCTGGGAGACCCTGCCTGGCCCGGGGCCCCAGGGCAGCTGCTGTACAAAAAGAGATGGTGCGGGTGTCCTCCCCCCACCCGCAACCATGGCCTCTGCCCACTAGGGAGCAGCCCCCAGGAGGCCCCGGGTGGCAGGCAGGTGGGGAGTGGATACCTCCTGGCTCTACCCAGCTGCCTCCGCCTCCAGTGGCCGGAGGTCCCAAGGACACACTGCAGTCCTAGCCCTGCCCCCTCAGGGGCTCTGATCTGTAGGGGGTGAGTGTGGGGCATGGGCAGGAAGGATGTGAGTCCCTCTGGGCATAGGGTCCCAGGGAGTTGTGGCCCAGGGATCCCTTCCCAAGGGCAGCAGGGAGCAAGCCTGACCTGCAGGCTGAGGGCTGACATAGACCAGGCAGCCACTTCCCTTCCCCAACCCACCCTTTCACCCCACCCCACACAGCGTGGCTCAGGGCCAAGCACAGTTGGGGCATCCTCCAGCTGGGTCCAGCCATGCTCCCCAAACCCCCGCCCCCACGGGATTCCCTCAGAGCTGGTGGTCTCTGCGGAGGACACGGCCTCACAGGCGCTGACTGTGCATTTGGGAGACCCGCCCCCGCAAGGATGCCCCACCTCTACCCAGGCAAGAGGGCCCGGAGTCACGTCGGAGAGTCTTCTCTGAGGACGGTCACGGGGCTGAGCCCAGCTCCAGGTCGAATGGGCAGCTCCGCCTGGTCAGAGGGCCACCCAAAGACGCCCGGTCAGAGCCCGGGGCACACCGAGGGCACCTGGTGGGCGTCCTCACCCCAAAGCCAGGGGCAGAGCGAGGGGGCGGCGCACACACGTCCTGCCTCCGTGCAGGTTTCAAATGTGTTGTTTATTCGCTATTTTGATGACTATAAATAAGTGTTTCCACTATGGAAAAGAAAGTTAGCACGGTACATTCTCATGACCAGGGAATAGATTTTCTGAAGTTGTCTTCATGAGGGCAAAAACTTAGAAAAAAAACAACCTGAATGTTGGAAGTCAGTTCTTTATATAAAGTCCCTTGTAAAAACAAAACAGAATAAAAACAAACCAAAAAGAAGGCGCAGGGCAAAATTAAAAAAAGAAATGGGGGAGACGGGGGGCAAGGTGCCCGGGGCGCCTCACTGCTTCTCCTCGGCCGCCGCTGGGGCCACGTCCTGGGGCTGCTCGCCTTCCTGCACGGAGAGTGCCTCAAGCTTCTCCGCTACCTTCTCGGCGCTATCGTTCTTGCCAGACCCTGGGGGACACAGGGGCACAGTGAGGGAGGCGCGGCAGCCGGCCGGGCCCCAGAGTCTCCAGGTGAGCATATGCCCGGGACGCTGGTGGTAGCACAAGCCTGAGCAAGCAGGCACCACAAGCACCTTCCCAAGCCCCCGCAGCCCCGGCTGGCCCGCCCCCAGAAAGCACCCGTGTACCGGGGTAGCTGTGCTGCCCTTAACAGGGCAGAGATCACAGCCCCCCGCCAGTTCCTGTGGCAGACGGAAAAAGCACCTGCCTGGGGCTGCGGCTGGGTGCAGAGTGAGTCTGCAGAGCGCCCCCCCCACCCACCCACCACGGGCCTGCGGCACCTTTTTTTTCTTTCTCTTCAATCTCTTTCCTGCATTCTTCAAACTTCGTCTTAAATTTCTGTGCATCTACAGAGATAAGAGAGGACGCCCCCAAAGATCCTGAGCAGCAAGGGGGACGCAGTCCTGGACGGTCCCAAGGACAGCCCATTCCCATCCGGGCAGCCCATCCTGCCAGGCACTGTGCTGGAGCAGGCCTTGCAGAGCACAGGCGGCCAACGACCAGCTGCCACTCTCGACAACACAAGCGGGAGGATGCCCTGGCCTGGGGAGGGCAAGCCGGGCACAGCCCTGTGAGCACAGACCTCCCCAGAGGGCCCCCCACACACATCCGGGTCCACTTACTCTCGGCGTTGAGGAAGCGAATGGCCAGCAGCTCCTGCTTGGGGCACTCATCGGCGAAGTCAGCATGGGTATTCCAGACCCAGGCGCGGTCGCTGCCCGCGTTCGGCTTCAGCTCCATCATTGGCGTGACTAGAGGGAGAAACCCCATGAGGACCACGTGGCTGCCAAGCCGGCCACCCCCGCCCGAACCCCTAAAGGCCCAACTGGAGCAAAAGCCTGGTTGGAGATTCACCACCCAGGCCCAGACAAAGGCTTGTGGGTCTGGATCTTATCCAAAGCCCTGAAAACTCCCCGTGTCCACTTAAAAGCAAGACTGTACTGAATCTGGGACGAGGGCAGTCACTCCCTGACCCGGAGGACACCTCAGCAGGGGTCTCCAACGCCACCAGACCCATTCACCACCCGCTGCCCCAGTCCTGTCCCTGTCCCTGTCCAAGCAGACCCAAAGGCAGATGTGGACCACAGCTGGGCAGGCCCAGCCTTCCTGAACAGGGTGCCCACCACGGGGCTGAGTCCACACTTGGCCACACATCAGGACCCGGCCCACAGGAGACAGGGCTATAGCCGAGATGCATAAGCCGCAAGTGGGGTGAAGGAGACCCACCACTCTCGGCCTTGCACTGCCCAGGGACATCCCAGGGAAAGAGGCCACTGGAAGTGGACACCGAAGGCCCATGACCAGCTTGTACGCCACAGAGATCGAGCCAGGTCCAGGAATCAGCATGGGCGCCCATCCCTCACGCCACGCATAAACTCAAGGAGACCAGCTTCTCAAGAAATGAGTGCCCCACAGCCACATTCGCCCCACATGCCTGGCAGAAGCCTCCCAGGACCAGCCCCAGGAACGCATCACACTCAGCACCAAGACCACTCATCCCAGCCCAGTCCCCCGGTAAGCCCGCGTGCCTACCGGGCACTTAAGGCCCCACTCTGCCGCCACCCACCCACCTGCACACCAGGCCAGAGACCCGGTGACCAGCCAGGCTCTGGGAGAAGCACGATCAGGGAAACATCCTGGGAAACACCTCAAACTGGGCTGGAGAACAAGGACCAGGCCAGAAACGGCAGGCTGGTCTGGGCTGAGACGGGCGACCTCGGAGCGCGGACACGAGGGCTGGCCCACGAGTGTCGATGGGACCGTGGTACTGGGAGGCCCGCGCCCACCTGTCCAGCCACATCACCCTCCCGGGCTGCTCCCTCCGGTTCCAGTCGGGTCAGCCCTGCGCCCCGAGCGCCCGGCCCCTCGCCCTGCTCACTGCAGTGATTGGTGCAGATCTTGCGGGTTCCCCGCCCCGCCCTCGGTGGCCCCGCCCACTGCAGTGATTGGTGCATAACTTGAGGGTCCTCACCCCCCCCCCGGTGACCCCGCCCACTGCAGTGATTGGTGCAGATCTTGAGGGTTCCCGCACCCCGAGGCCCCGCCCCTCTCCCCGCCTACTGTAGTGGTTGGCGCAGATCTTGAGGGTCTTGTCCCTGCGCATGAGCAGGCGGATGGTCCCCTTCTCCTTGTGCTTCAGCAGCTTGACGTCCCCCGTGCCCCGCTCCTTCCACTCCGGGAGGTCGTTCTCTGAAGCAAATCGGAAGAGCTTGGCTCTCCTGCGAGGAAAGCAGCAGGGCGAGGCATTAAGCGGGCGTAGGAGGGACAAGGCCGCGTCTGCACCCGAGGCCTCGCCAGAAATCCCTTTTACTCCAGAACCGCAGGTCAGGGCATCAGCAGAAAAGCGAGGAGGCCCAACGAACCCCAAGTCTTACAGAAAAGCCTGACTGCTCAGAGGGCCCACTGCAGTGCCGGCCGAGGAGGCCATCATGGTGTGGGGGCTCCCTGGCGCCACGGATGCGGGCCGGAGATGAGGAGCCTTTCCTTTGCTGGGAAGACAGGCTGCAGGCCTCCACTAGGGCCACAGGCTCTGGGCCGAGACCTGGCCTTCCCGCCCACAGCAGCCCGGCCCTCTGCCTTACCAAGGACCCCAGCTCTGCTGGTCCCTTTCCTGCGAAGACTGCTCTCCGCACCACATGCAACCATCAAGGGAGCAATGGGCCCAGGAGGAGGCCCCTCCCGCTGGCCCAGCCTCCCTGGGGAGGTGGGGAGGCACAGACAGCACTCCCACCCCAGGCACTTGGCACTGGTGTCCAGCCTCCCGGTCTTAGAGGAGGGTCGGCAGTGCTGGTGATCCCCTCTGCTTCCCTCCTCTGACCCACAGCAGAGGACTCAAACCGTACTCTGGTGTTTCTGAGGGAACTTGAAGGGGTGGAGAGTCGGCTCCTCCTTCCCTCCCACGGCCCAGCGATTCCCACTAACTTGCAGCCTCTCCCAAGGCCCTGTGTGTCGTGCGGTGCCGGCACTCTGTCACAATCACCTAGCCACATGGCTTCTGTGAGTGCTGCTTTAAGGTGACATGGCCACCGTAACCTCTTGTTGAAGGCACCAAGATCGCAAATGAATTTTTAAAAATATAACTTCGATGACTAACCACCCACCTTTTATCTGTAATTCCAAGCATCATTTAGTACATTAAAAATACTGAATCGGAAATTCAGGAGCTTCAAAGAGTGTCAGTGCCAAAGAAGAAAAGACAGTGTTGTTAAAGACCCGATGCTCAACCAGAGACAGGGGGCTGTGGGAGTCTTAAAGGCAAGGTGGCAAAGACAGGGGTCTGTGAAGCTGTCAGTTGTGGGCAGAGCGGGACAGGCCTCAGGGCAGTGTGGGTCCCAAGCGCCAGGAATGAGTGTATTCAAGAGCTGCTTAGTTTCAATATGGGAGTAACCATCACAAAATCCTGTGGTTAAAGATCAAGCCGAGACCTTAACACCTGTTAAGAAAAACACTTTCGACCTCAAAGTGAATGTGCCTACTTCTGAAGAGATGCCAACTTACATTTTAAAAAGTTCCTCTTCATCTTCTTCCAGCGTTTTAATTTCTTGCTCGGGAAGAGAAACTATTGGCTCAAACTGGGGGTCGTGGTTGGACTCATCAGCATTCTCAGTGGAGGTGTCGTGGTCCTCGTGGGTGTCCTGCAGTGGCGGGTGGAGACGTGAGTGACCCTTCTGGCTGCGCCAGACCCCACCAGTGCCCAGAGCTAGGCATTCCCACTAGTGAAGGGCCTACCACCCCCAAAGCCTTTCTCCAATCTGCAGTGAGACACTGGACTCCGACATCCTCTTTCAGATGCAAGGACACCACCTCACAGGCTCCCCAAACTCCCCCGCACTTAATTTGTAAGATGGGAACACAGATGCTGCCACGTGCAGATTAAGGGGACAACGACGGGGTGGGGGGTGGGGAAGGGCCTCGAGTCGAGCACTCCTCTTACAAGCCCTTTTGAGTTTTTACTGGGTGAGAAAAATCTGTGCTCTTGCTTAAAAGTTGTGGCGGCGTCCTAATATGTGTGCAGAATTCAGTTCTGCCAACAATTTTATCTCGGTTGGGGAAATGACGTGTAAATCAAGAGAATTCACGCAAATAAAAGCCCCAAAGTTTGGATCCAGCACGGAGGACTAACTACGGGGCACAAAGGATCAGGTTTTGGGCTGTCTCACGGAGCACGTGGCTTAGAGATCCATAGCCCCAGAGGGTAAGACGCCCGGACTGAGCTCCCCGGCTCGGCCCAGGAATGCAGGCCTCCGCTGGTCACTCGAAACCCACCCCCCCCCACCGCGAGCCCCGGTGGCCAAGGGCCGCCCGCCAGGCCGCGCGGGCGCGGAGGCGGGTAGCGGCTCGCGGACCGACACCGGATGAATGGAGAGCCTAGCGGGCCGGCCGTGTCCGCGCGGGGGGCCGGGGGCGGGCGCGAGGCCTGGCCGCCCCAAGGTCACGCGGCGCGGCGCCCAGGCCCGCGGGCCTGCGGGGGTTGGGAGACGGCGCGGCCCGCCCACGTGGCCGCCGGCCGCAGCGGCCCCGGCGCCCCCCCCCCCCGGCCCGCTCGCCCCCACCGGCCCACCTTGGCGGCCGCCATGGGCGCGGCGGCGGCGGCGGCTCGGCGGGCTCGGTCGTCGCGGGCTCCGCGGCCTCTCGGCGGCTGCTCGCAGCTCCTTCCTCCGCGTCTGGCGCCGGCGCCTCCCGCCCGCCCGCTGGCTCACTCACTCGCTCTTCCCTCCGCCCCGCGACCCGAACCCCGACCCCTGACCCCGGCGGCGGGAAACGCGCCGCTATTCAAAACCGGCGCAGCTTTATTGGGCTCGGGCGGCGGACACTCGCATTGTCCGGCCCGCCCCGCGCTTCCCGCCAAAACGCCCGCGGCGCATGCCCGGCCAACCAGGCCGGATGGTATGGGGGACGGTGTGGGAGGGGGGAGCACGCAGTCCCGGCGGCCCTCTCGCGCACTTCCGCCCCGCAGCCGCGCGCGCGCCCCTGGAGCTAGAGGTCTGGGCTGGGGGAGGGGTGCTCGAACGGCGCGTGGTGATGACGTTGCCGGAAGCGGGGACGATAGAGACGCGCCTCCTGCGCTGTGCACGCCGGCGGCCGGGCGGGAGGGCGGCAGGCCCAGGTAGGAGGCGGGTGCGGGCGCCTGGCGGGCGGGCGGGCGGCGCAGCGCGTGGCCGAGGCCCGGCCCCGAGCACTGGGGGTTCGAGTCCCGGGCCCCTCCCAGGCCACTGCCGGACGGTGTGCGCTCCAGGCCCCAGGCGAGGCGACGGACGCTGCGGACGATGGGGGACGAGTTGGACGGCGAAGTACGGTGCGGGGGAGTCGGCCGGGCTGGGGGCCGCGACCGCGATGGGCTGGGGAGGCCGGGGCGGGGCTCCGGGCGCGCGGGCCGCTACCAGCCCCGCGCCTGCTGTCTGCACGCAGGGCCAGGCGCACGTCGGGGATCCCGGCCAGGACGGCGCCGCGGCACCGGGCCCGCGGCGGGAGGAGGAGCAGGCAGCAGCGGCCGGGCTATCGGAACCGGGGCCCTACGGATACATCCGGGCCGGCCTGTTCACCTCGGAGGTCTTCAAGCTGGAGCTGCAGAACGTGCCGCGCCACGCCAGCTTCAGCGACGTGCGGCGCTTCCTGGGCCGCTTCGGGCTGCAGCCCCACAAGACGAAACTCTTCGGGCAGCCGCCCTGCGCCTTCGTGACTTTCCGCAGCGCCGCCGAGCGCGACAAGGCCCTGTGCGTGCTGCACGGGGCGGTTTGGAAGGGCCGCCCGCTCAGCGCGCGCCTGGCCAGGCCCAAGGCTGACCCCTTGGCCAGGAAGAGGCGGCAAGAGGACCGGGGGGAGCTCTCCGCCGGCCCGGCCGCGTGCGTCGCCGACGTGGTGACCCCTCTCTGGGCCGTTCCCTACGAGGAGCAGCTGGAGCGGAAGCGGCAGGAGTGTGAGCAAGTGCTGCAGAAGTTGGCCAGGTGAGTGTGGGCGCGGGCACCCCGGGCTGGGCGCTGCGTTCTCTCAGCCCACTCCCAGAATCTCAGACACAGGCTCTTAGGGAGTCATCCCAGTAAGAGCCCTGTGTTCCTGGCTCAGGACCCACTGTCCTGAGGGTGGGGGGTGTTCGGAGCCCCACCGACGCCCCTTCTCTGCCCACAGGGAGATCGGGAGCACCAACCGCGCCCTGCTGCCCTGGCTGCTCTCACAGAGGCACAAGCACAACAAGGCCTGCTGCCCGCTGGAGGGCATCCGGCCCTCCCCCCAGCAGGTTAGGTCTTGGGGTCCCACAGAAACTTCTCCCACTTGGTCCTCCTGTCCTCAGAGCTGTTTCTGGTTCTCACCAAACACCCATTGGTTGCTGTCAGCATGGTGCCTTCGGCTGCCAGGCCCGTGGGGGAGCCTGGGCCTAACATCACCTCTGCACTGCCGGTGTTGGGATGGTTAGAGTGAGAACCATTGTCTTTCTTGTTTCCGTTGGCCTGTCCTGCAGACCGAGTATCGGAACAAATGCGAGTTCCTGGTTGGTGTCGGCGTGGACGGGGAGGACAACACAGTGGGCTGCCGGCTCAGCAAGTACAAGAGCGGGACGTGTGCCGTGGCAGCCCCCTTCAACACCGTGCATATCCCTGGGGCCACCAAGCAGGTGGTGAAGGCGTTCCAGGAGTTCATCCGGTGAGGTTGCTGGCGGCCTGGGATATACGAGGCTGTCTGAGAGCAGAAGACAGGGTCCACCCAGGAGGGGGCTCTGGTGGTGGGGCTGGAGGACACAGAACTGGGGGCAGACATGGGCACTCAGGGCCCTCTGTGGCTCCCGCAGGTCCACTCCCTACTCAGCATACGACCCGGAGACATACTCAGGTCACTGGAAGCAGCTGACCGTGCGTACCAGCCGCCGCGGCCAAGCCATGGCCATTGCCTACTTCCACCCACAGGTCTCAGGAGGGCAGCGTGTGGGAGGGGCGTCTGGGCCAGACTGGACTTGGACGGTCTCATTGGCCCTTTCTACTGCCTGGTCCAGAACCTGAGCCCGGAGGAGCTGGCGGGGCTGAAGGCATCTCTGGCGCAGTACTTCATGGAGGGACCGGGCAAGGCCAGTGGGGTGACCTGCCTCTACTTCGTGGAGGAAGGACAGCGGTCAGTAGTCGGGACAGCTGGGATGGTCTTCGTGAGGACTGTGACTGACTGCTCCTCTCGCACCCACAGAAAGACCCCCAGCCAGGAGGGCCTGCCTCTGGAGCACGTGGCCGGGGACCGGTGCATCCGTGAGGACGTGCTTGGGCTGACCTTCCGCATCTCCCCCCACGCCTTCTTCCAGGTGGCTGGAGCCTGGGCTCAGGAGGGCGCTTGGGGTGGGGGGCCAGGGTGACCAATGGGCAGAGTATCTGGGGGGAGCCCAGGGCCACAGGCGGGATCTGCGGTGCCTGCTGCCACAGGGCCTGCCAGGGCCGGCACTCAGGAGGAAGTAGTGGGTGGTGGCACTGAGCTGTGTTCTTGAGCCGGGAGACTGAGAGTGGCTGGAGGGGCCTTACGGCGCCCAGGGAGTTGGAGGTGGGGAAGCAGTGAGGGAGCCGGGTGGGGGGTTGCTCTGACGGCCCGGCCCGCACCCAGGTGAACACCGCTGCGGCTGAGGTGCTCTACACGCTCATCCAGGACTGGGCCCAGCTGGATGCGGGCAGCACGGTGCTGGATGTGTGCTGTGGCACAGGCACCATCGGCCTGGCCCTGGCCCGGGTGAGCCCCGCCACGCCAGCCAGGCGCACCCCCGCCCCACTCCTGTCGTCCCACTTCCTGTTGTATGCCCCCCACCCTGTACCAGCCCCTCCGCTGCCCCAGGAGGCCTAGGATGGGCGGTCATCAGTCCCTCCTGTCCCTGGTCCAGAAGGTGAAGAGAGTCGTGGGGGTCGAGCTGTCCCAGGAGGCTGTGGAGGATGCACGGGTGAACGCCCTGGACAACGGTGAGGGCCAGTGGTGGCAGGGTAGCCAGGTGGCCCTGAGCCCTTACCGCCCGTGGGGCGGGGGCAGAGGAGGCCCCACTGGGGACCCACGGTGCACCACACCACCTGGGGCTGTCCCACAGGGAAGGGCTTTCCTTGGGCATCTTGGTCCTGGGGCTCTGGGACATGGTGGTCTGGTAGGCCTGTGGTAGGGGTCGCGGGCTGCCTGACACGGCTGCTCTGCCCTTGCAGAGCTGAGCAACGTGGAGTTCCACTGTGGCAGGGCCGAGGAGCTAGTGCCCACCCTGGTGAGCAGGCTGGCCTCCCAGCAGCTCGTGGCCATCCTGGACCCGCCCCGTGCCGGCCTGCGTGAGTGGCTGCCTCCCCAGGGGCTGCCCGGGCCTTTCCCTTGGTGGGTGGCCTTGGGGACCCCTGTTGAGGTTCTGTGTCTCCTCAGACTCCAAGGTGGTCCTGGCTGTGCGCCGAGCAGAGAACCTGCGGAGGCTGCTGTATGTGTCCTGCAACCCGCGGGCAGCCATGGGCAACTTCGTAGAGTGAGTGTAGGGTCAGGTGGGTGGCTGGGTGCCTGGTTCGCCCCTGCAGGGGGCCCACTACACCCCTACACTGACCATGCTCCACCCTATACAGTCTCTGCAGGGCCCCGTCCAACCGCGTCAAGGGCACTCCCTTCCGGCCAGTCAAGGCTGTGGCCGTGGACCTGTTCCCTCAGACCCCGCACTGTGAGATGCTCATTCTCTTTGAGAGGGTGGAGCACCCCAATGGTGCGGGGGCCCTGGAGCCCCACAAGTCTGTGGTCCAGACCCCACCAGCACCCCCAGGTGATACCTCGCCGGAAGCCAGGGCCTCCCCAACTTCTTAGGGGCTGCAAAAACCAACCCTTCTGCAACAATACCTGGACAGCCACAGGCAGAGCCTGGGGTCCTCAAGGCCTGCCCAGGATGGCCAGGCAGCCACAGAGGCCACCAAGCCTGTCCCTGACCCCCAAATGGGCCACAAGGACTGGAATAAACAAGTGCTGAAATGCCAGCGTGTGTGGTGTGAACACGGGGGCAGGTCCCAGAAGGCATCTCGGAAGCAGCCAGGAGTCCCAGCAGAGCCCGCACTGCTCAGAGGTGCAGGACCTGGGAGCCAGCCGCACAGGGCACAGTGCTGCTGCCCCACCTGCTTGTCTGCCCCAGAGGAGGCTCCTCCTGGTGGCAGCAAGCGCTGAGGGGAGCTGGGAACCCCCGCTCTCCAGGAGGCTGTGGCCCGGAGGACCAGCAGGTCGTCCCCCTTCCCGCCCATCAAGGCTCGTGGCTAGGCTGGGGGCCTAGCTGCCCCTGCAGCAGAGCGGTGCCCACACCTAGGGAAGGGAACAGAGGGAGGACGGACCATGGCGAGGTCACCATCTCCAGCCTGCGCAAGGCACTGTGTCAAGGTGGCACACTGGCTGTTTTAAGGGCAAACAGTCAAGTTGTTATTCACCACCGTAGACAGAACAGGACAGAAGCATATAATTACAGCGACTTGATTCATGGATTGTTTTACAAAGGTCCACGGGGGCCGACCTCAGTCATGTGCGGGGGGGCATTCTGAAGGCTCCGCAGCTAAGGGTGAGACAGACCCACCCCCATCCACCGGACTGCCTGGTCAAGCCGCACAGCTGCACATAAAATCGAGGGCCACCTGCGCCAGTGTGAGCATCTTCAGCTCCTTTTTAAGTAAGTCCACGAGCTAAAATGCATTAACTGGTCACATCTGCTACGTGATTCCACACCTATCTTCTACCCTCACTGTAAAAGCTGCTTTCCAAACGCTAAAATATCATAAAAGCTTTAAAAATTGATGGGTGGACAGACTGGACTGTGCAAAAATTTAGTAAAAAATTAGCAGAGGCCAGCAAACGTGAGGGGCCTCTATCTATGAAGGTGTGTTCAGGGCTCTAAGAACAGACGCCGGGCCAGCAAGCAGGCAGGGCAGCACCCACGCCCACGGGCAACACCTCTCTAGGTGAAGAAAGATCATCATGGTGGTTTGCCTGCAACCTCTGAAATACTCCTTCCTACTGTTAACTTTTTCAGAGAAAAGACGGAAAACCCAGGAGGCTGGAAGGGGAGGGGTACCGGCCTGCGCCTTCTGGCTGGGTCCCTACATGCCTGTGGGAGCCAGGGTGCACGGCCTTCGCATTTCATGTCATCAACTATCACTTCTGGTCAGTGCACGTTACACAGAAAATTCATGAAAAGCTTCAGGGTCTGTCCACATGAGAAGAGCCCCACGGCAATCTCCGAGCTGTCCACGTCCGCCTGTGTGGCAGGTGGGTGGAGGCCGGAACACGGCCACCGGGGCCTTAGGTGGCCCCCAGAAGGAGCTGCGTGGGCCTGCTGTCAGGCACGCAGCAGAGCCGTGGAACCAGAGGCAGATCCCCAGTGCGCTGGCGGCCCGGAGCTGGCCGCCCTCACACATCCACGGTGCAGAGGGGCTCGCCGCCAGGCTGCGCAGACGCCACGATGGACATCTTGGGCTTCTTGCGTGTCTCCTCCTGGAAGGACATTGAGGTCAGGGGTGGGGCCACAGGGACCGCAGCCCAGGCTCAGCAGAGCCCTGGGAGGGAGCAAGCCCAGCACACCACCACACGCTGGCGCTTCCCAGGAGTCATTCGGACATATGCCCCGGACAGGAAGGTCAGGTTCCCAGCCCCCAGGGATTCAAGCCACCGCGCACCCGCTCCTCCGCCAGCCGCCGCATCTCCTCCTGCAGCTTGCTCAGGATATGCAGGTTGGGCTTGTTCTTGCGGGCAAACTGCTGCAGCTCGATCACACTCTTGTCCGAGGTCTCCTGGGGAGCAGAGCCTGCTGGCGGCACTGGCCGGGGCCTCCCGTCCCGCGACCCACCTGCCAAGCTGCTAGCCACCCCTGGTTCCACTGCCTTGGGTGCGAGGGTCCACCGGCCCCCACAGCCTACCAGCCACAAGCCAGGCACACACCATGCCCAGAGGCCTCTGCCGAGGGTGACCAGATCCCAACGTGGTCGGGGGGACAGCATGCAGGGGCCCAGGCTCACCCTGCCCCACAGCCACCAGAAGCCTGAGGACCGACACCACGCTCCCCACACTCTCATGGGGTGTGTGCCGTGTGAGGACGCCTACGGGCCGCACCCCCCGATGGCTCTGGGGCCTCCCGGCAGGGCCGGGCATACTTCTCCCCAGCTCCTGGCCAAGGAAGACCCTCTGCATGCAGAGACAGGAAGGCAGTGACTCAGCCACGCATAGCCCAGCACCTCAGGGCCCCCCACACTCCCCCAGCCCAGACCCAGGAGCTCTTCGGGGACGGCTGGGGTGCCGCCCGTGGTCCTCACCCTCCACACCCACCACTCACTGGGGACCGTTTCTGAAGTCAGGGGAAAAACTCAAAGACCACAGATGTCAGTTCCCTGTACTTTGCCCTAAATGCACAAAAACTTAACAGTGTTGTGAAATCTCAACATCTTGGCCAAAACAGAGGACACACATGGCCTGTTCAGAGGCACGCCATGCACGTGCCTGGGACAGCACCCGCGTGCACTCGCCCGCCACCCCATTACCTGCTTGACCATCTTGCTGCTCTCACGGCCATACATGCGCAGCAAGGACCCCCAGTTCTTGACGTGCGGGTGCAGCAGCTGCAGGATCTTCTGAGATGCCAACTGCTTCCCAACGCGCTTGTTCTTGCCTGGGCGGAGATGTAGACATGGAGTCAAGACACCCACGTCCACAGGGCACCGTGTCCAGAGGGGCACACTCCACACAGCCCCGCCCGCCAGAGGCTCGGGGAGGGCAGGATGTCCCCCAGGACGCGGCTCTCGAGGCCCCCTGCCTGCAGCTGCAGACACACAGACGATGCGTCCCGCAGGGCAGGCTGGGGGCAGGGGAGAGTCCTGTGCGGCAGATGTTTCTAGACGGAGGGAGGAGAGGCCAGGGTGCAGAACAGACTGGGGGGGGCGCGGGGCCTCTGCCCCCTGCTCAGGGCTGGGCTCAGCAAGCGCTGGTGTCCGTGGGGACGGCCCGGTCTGCAGAGTCTCCCGCGGCCTGCTTGGGCATGACCTTCTCCCAGCACCTTACCCGGTGCTGGGCTGTGTTTAAACAGTCCCACAGTCTCTGTGTGAGGCCACCTCCAGCCCCGGGCGAGGCGAAGAACAGCAGGCCCGCTCCCCTCCCAGGGACCCAGCAGTGGGCGGGCCGTGCCGGCAGCCGGGACCACGGCCCAGCCAGGTGAGCAGTTCAAGGCCGGGACACTAGCCGCCACAGCGGCGTGCAGGCTGGCTGGGTCTCAGGGTGATGTGCAGTGTGGCGGGCGCACCTGGGCGCCATCAGCACATGGCTGAGGCCCAGGTGAGCCCAGGCAGTAGACCCTGCGGTCACTGAAAGCAGGTACATGCGTGTGCAGGGTGGAGGGGCAGGGGGCTTACACCAGCCGCGCACTGTGTGCTTGCCACACGCCATGACGTATTCGCTCTTCTGGTTTTTACCAGGAACTACTTCAAACTTGATGGAGGTGTCTCCCATCCCGTGGTTTCTGGTGGACAAAGCAGACAGTAGGCAACATCGCCCCGAGATGGCATCCACCATCCTCCCCAAACCGCGGCTCCCATCCCAAAAGGGCTCTCTCAGGACCCCCGCCAGTACCCTGGAGAGGTCCCGGGCAGGGACACCCCACCTTTTAAGGCACTCATGGAGGATTTGGTAGGGCGACAGCAGCCCGGCCTTGCTGGTCAGCTCGTAGACCCGCGAGTCCTCGATACTGATGTGGTTGAAATACTACAAAGGGAAGCGGCTGGTGAGTGCCGGCCACGCCCGGGGCCCGTCCAGCTGCCCCCGCCCTTGTCACGGCCTCTCAGCGATGCTGCACCCACACCTCAGGCCCGGTCGCCCGAGACATGCCTGCCTGCTGGCCTCAGAGCCCGTCCTGAACCAGAGCCTGATCAGACCACTGGCCAGAAAGCTAAAGACACACAACCTTTGGGAAAAAAAACCTTGAAAACCATCGTAAGTGAATTTAGAATAGAGAAAGTGACCAGACACGACAGAAGAGAAACTTGGTCACGGGGACGAAGAGCAGGCGCCCAGCCGGTTCAGAGAAGGAGGCTGGCGACAGAGGCCTTGTCAGCCGGGAGCGGGTAGGACCCTCAGGAGAACAGCGCCCTCCCTGGTGGGGTTGTGTTTACCTTGCGGGCTGTGTTTACCTCACAACCACACGCTCTGTCAGAGCCTCTCAGGGAAGCCCCTTCCCCGACTGTCCAGCTCCTGGTGCCCCTAGCCCCACCCTCTTCATGCAGAACTCCTCCAGGAGCGAGGGAGCTTCCTCCCCCACAGTGTCAGGAGGTGGCCCTGCATGCCTCCCTCCCTGCACCTCTGGGTGTTCGCCGGCCAGGGCACCCTGAGCCCCACACTCAGGGTGCTGCTCAGACTGCCGGCCACAACAGGAGAGCCCACCCCGGGCACGGGGGGTGGAGGATGGGGCTGCAGTCCTACCCCCGACTGCACAGCGGTGCCCCCAGCAACCAGTCCCCCACCTCGGGCCACCTCGACATGAACTCAGGCAGAGGGAAAGGGTTAGAATAAAGGGTTCCCTTCACTTAAATTGTTTTTACTTTTTGGCTGCACCTCCTGGCACGCAGGATCCCAATTCCCCTGCATCCGAAGTGTGCAGTCCCAACCACAGGACTGCCAGAAAAGTCCCAAATGTCCCCTTCACTTTTATCAAACGGAGCTATTTCAGGAACTGAGGACAAAAACCAAATGGTAATTTCTCTTCTTCATGAGCTCTTTGCAGGAACCAAGGACAGAGACCAAACATCTATTTGTTACTTTATTACATTATCACAAAGACATAGGCGCCTAACAGCCCCAAATACAGGGAGCAAACATGATGGCAGTGAACAGACAACTCGGCAGTAACTGGGGACTCACACCACTCCCTCCAGGACAGACCCTCCAGGAAGGCGAGCACTCCCCTCACCAGCTCGGCCAGTTCACTCCGCTGGAAAGCACACACGCCCAGCCTCTCAGGCGGGCACAGTACAAGCCTTGACAAACGTTCAAGGATTGACTGGAATCACACAAGCTGTAGTTCTGAATCACAATGGAATTAAGTTATAAATCAATAACTGAAGGAAACTGGGGAGATTCACATATATATGAAAAGTAAACGGTCCTAAAATAACTACTCGTTCAAAGAAAAAAAAAATCACAAGAGAAATTAGGAAAATATCTTGACATAGATAAAAACAAAAACACAACATATATTAAAGGAAAATTATGGGATGCAAATTAGTACACAGAAAAAAATTGACAGCTGTAAACCCCACATTTAAAAAGACCTCAAATCAATACCCTAAACCATAAGAAACTAGAACAAAGGACAAACCAAACACAAGCCTGGCAGGAAAAAAAAAAAAAAGGCTGGATCTGAAACAGAGAAGAAAAAAGAGAACTTCCACACAACCAGAAGCTGTGTATTGGAAAAGACCAACAACACTGACAAACACTTAGAATGGCCAAAAGAAAACAAAGACTCAAACTGCTAAAAGTCAGGAACGAAAGCAAGAACATCACAACCCCGATGAAGTAAAAAGGGTCACAAGAGGGCACTGTGAATGCCAGTCCCCTAGAGGACCTGGTCACCTGGGAAAACTCCTGCCAAGACACAGAATCCCACAACCGGCTCGAGAAGCAGCAGAAAGCCTGAGAACGCACAACAAGTAAACAACCTGAAAACAAAGAAGAGTCCAGGCCCAGATGGTTTCACTGGTGAATTCTACCAAGTGTTTAAAAATTAACACCAATCCTTCGCAAACTTTTCCACACGATAAAAGAGGAAGGAAGACTTTCCCACTCGTTCTACAAGGCAAGTACTGCCCTGATACCAACACCAAAGACATCATAAGGAAAAAAAATACAGACCAGCAACCCTTAGAAACACAGCTGCAGAAATCCTTAAAAAAACAGCAGCAAGCCAAGCCGATCCACACATAAAGAGAACCGTGTGCACCACAACTGAGTGGGACTTATCCCAGGAATGTGAGGTTTTATATTCAAAAGCTAATGGAATTTAACCCCACATCAGTAAAATCAAAGATAAAAACCATGTGATCATCTCACAGAAGCAGAAAATTCAAAACCCAACATCCATTGCAGACAGAAACAGTCAACAAACCAGGAGTGGAAGGAAACGTCCTCACGCTGATAAAGCCCCGGATCACCAGCAGTCAGTAGGAGCACCTGGGTCTGGCTCCACTGACTACAGAGGTCAGAGGTGGCGGACCCAGCACAGAAAGCAGCCAGTGCCGCCAGGGTCGGGAAGCTGGACGAGACGGGGGACCAGATAACGGGGACAGGGTTTCCTTCGGGAGTGATGAACACAATCTGAGAATACAAAAACCTACTGTGCTGTGCAGCTGAAAAGGGAAAAACTATGGCATATATGCATTAAACTTCAATACTAGAACCCATGTGACACAACTAAAACCTGGCAAACCAAAGAAACAGAAATAGTTTGGTTTTAAAAAAAAGGATGTATCCTTCAGTGTAAGAAGCCCTTGCAACAAAAACCCACAGAAGCAGTCTACCCAAAGCAGCTCACAGTTTTAAGTGGTTCTCAACACAAAGAACAGTCCAGCTTTTGCAGCCTCTGCCTCGAAGGCTCGTCCACCACACAGCTCTCAGGGTAGCGTGACTTCCGTGCAGTACGGCAAACACAGTTTCTCACACCCACGGCAAGACGGGGACGGAGACCTGCTAGGGGGATGGCCCCTGCCCACAGAAACAGGCAGGCCTCCCCGTCCCAACGCGAGCGGCGGGCCTGCGCTCACCTCCAGCTCCTCGCTGTCTCTGGGCTTCTCCTCCGATGTCTGCTTGACGAAGTCAGGGATGAGGATCTCCAGCGTGGCGCGGGCTGCCGGGAGGAGCACAGGGTGAGGGGCCAAGCTCAGACAGCAGCCAGGCCCCAGGGGCGGGGCGGCACTCGGGGGAGCTCTGCGGGCCCAGTGTGGGCGCCAAGGGCACAGGAGCACGCCTGCAGGGGCCAGCCTCACCGGGGTGGGGGTGGGGGTGCCATGAGGACGGCTGCACCTCACAGCTTTCTGCCTTGAGAGCCCGCGAACAGCCCACTGGTGGGTGGAGCCAGAAGACCCTCTGGAGCCTCTCTTAAGTGGAGGGGCCTCCTAGGGTGGGGGAGGCAGACCACGCAACCTCAGCGCAGCCTGGTGCGGCGACGGCCACACAGTCCATCATCCTCAGCATCAGCCACCAAGGGAGACCAAGCGGGGCGGACTCTGAGCCCCAGAGCTCAGACCCTGCGCCAGCCCGAGCCATGGGGAGGCAGCAACGGAGTGGACACGGCCCAGGCTCTGTGAGCACAGAGTTGCTCTAAGACATGCGGCAACGGGGCGCCAGGGCCGAGGACACAGCCACAGCCGGCCCGCCACGGGTCCTCCCCAGGAGGTGCTAAATGGCTCCCGGAAGCACGCTCCCGCCCGGCGCGCAAATACAGCCAGCAGCAGGCCCAACAGGAGGAGCTCCCAGGGCCTGCCTGGCTGTGCTCTGGACCGGCAGCCCCAAGTCTCAGCCAGAAGCACTCGGGAGCAGTCCTCACAGACATCAGGACCCCTGAGGAGCATGCCCGCCGTGCAGGGTCTACACAGATGGCGCCCAGGCTCCGGCAACCCAGAGCGCTGTGTGTGCTGGGGGAGTGGAGGGCCGGGGCAGGAGGCGCGGGCCCACCCATCCAACTGGACGAAAGCCTTCTATGTTCGCTTCTCACAGCCTGCCTCTTGGTGAATCCTTGCCAGTGAGTGCATAACTTAAAAAGATCCAAGCGGATAACTCCATAAATACCAGACTCGCCCATCCCACCTCCAGCCAGGGTGGTTCACACGGTCCCCCAGACACCAGCAGGCACATTACCAGCTTTGTTCTTGGCCAGTTTTTTGCTGCTCGCCGTTCCAGATCCATAGGTCACACCGTCAATGGTCACTGAGGCACCAAAAGGCTCGCTTGGGTTCTCTTAAATTAAAACGACCACTTTAAAACACATGTGCCAGGATGTTCACACCAGCACACACACACACTCTGCTCACCGCAGAGCGTGGGGCACGGCTGCGGCAGGAAGGCAAGGCGGGGGTCCCCGGGACACTGGGCAGCCACAGAGGGAGACGGGCCAGAGGCAGAGCTGCCAGGGACAGAGACCAAGGTCTGAGAAAGGCGGATGGGCGCAGGGGCACACACAAAAGGCAGGGGTGGGAATGCAGACTCAGCAAGCCCAAGAAGCAGGGAGACCACAGCGGACCCGAGCTTCCGGCCCTCACTCAGGAGCGCTGCGGGCGGCACAGAGGGGCCGGAAACCAGCACAGGAACGCGGCTCCTCCAGCCGGAGGCCGGGGTGGCTGTGGGGGGGCAGACATGGTGCGCAGGGCGTGGGGAGGGGGCGGCAGGTGAGGACGACCCCCTCCATTTCCCGTCTCATCCCAGCAGGCGGGGCTGACAAGCAGCCCCAGGCAGCGCCTGATGCCCGAGAGGGGTGGCGGCACTCACCGCACTCGAAGAAGCTGTACACGGGGCGGACCTTGAGCACGCGCTGCATGTACTCGTGCAGGATGCACACCTCAGACTTCCCGTTGGGGTTGATGACAAACTCTGTGATGTGACGACAGGGGCTGTCTCAGAACAGCCTGGGACCCCACCTGTGGAGGGGACCTCTGCGCCGCAGGGCGGACGGGGCTGGGCTCACCTTTCTTTGTGGGCGCATCCTGCACAGACAGTGTGATGAGCTTCTGGTTGGCGGGCAGGATGGGCCTCTCTGACTCGGCCTGTTTTCGCTTCATTTCTCGGTTGAACTGCCGACGCTCAGCCCATGTCCTGAACTTCTTCACAGTCACTTGCTCAAAGTCAAAGCGCTTCTCCAGGTAATTCCGAAACTCCTCAAGGTCTGCGCGAATTGACCAGAGACAAAAGTGACGAACTCCCGACCAGTTACCCCCTAGGTGACAGGACGGGTCCTGGCCACACGACACCCCTCCCGCTTCCCCTCAAGGATGAGGAGCCAAGCAATCAGGCTCCTTCGCTCTGCCAGGTTCCCTAAGGAGAAACTTCTGGGCTACCCCTTTAGTTTATTTAGAACAAAAAAAACAAAAATAAACAAAGAAAAAGGAAATGTTAGAAAAAAACACCACTATCAGCCTCCAGGACCTTCTCCCCATGGGAACCAGGTGCCGATGGCCCGCAGCAGAGGCATGGCGCCCAGCACGGCCTCCTGCCCCCGCCTGTCCCCCAGGATCCCAGGCTTCCCATCAGCCCCACCCCGCTGCTTCTCCCAGAGGCCTAGGCACCACGCACATGCTTGCACACTTAGGGACGGAGCGAAACCACAGAGCTCCCCACACAGGAGTGTAGAGCAGTGGGCACGCGCTGAGGATGGTGCCATGGGGAGACCATCAGGCAGACGAGGGCCCCTTCCAGCTGTGTCTCGAGAATACCCCCGTCCTTGCAGAGCACCAGCGCGCTCCCCAGAGGCCTCCCCGCCAGCCCCAGACGCGGCCCCTCCTTGGGAGCAGCCCCCAGCCCCTCATGGACAGGAGCACACAGACACCTGGGGCTTGAAAACGTGCCGCTCTCTAACAGGGACTGGGCAGGGGCTGAGAGAGCCCGACCCCATGGAAGAGACATGGGAGGGATGACCCACGACCGAGGGCGCCCACGGGGCTGAAACAGCAGCTGCGCCCACCCCGGCGGTGGGACCCCAGGACCCACACGCACACACCGCGGCGCAGAGGCCGAACGGTCATGACCAAAGGCTGTCTGGGCGGCGACACCGGTCAGCGGGCGGGTCTCCTGAGCTCGGGGTCGGGCAGGCACAGACGGGGCCCCTCTTCCCTAGGGACCAAGTTCGCCCCAAAGCTTACCGACGGACTCGTCCTTGCACACCTCCACCTTGGCCTTCACCTGCCCCAGGGCCCCAGGCGCGGCCTCGGCCCCCAGCGGGTCCTTCTCGTCTGGGGGCCCCGCGTCGGCCCCTAGGGGGTCAGGCTCGTCTGGGGGCAGCTCTGGCTCTGGGGGGGCAAGCCCCACGCCCCGCTCCCGCTCCTCGCTGTCCTTCATCTTCCGGTAGTGCAGGCAGGGGATGCTGGTCAGGGGAGGGCCGTGTTTCTGCGAGCAGGGAGACCGCGCAGGTCACCAGGCCGGACGCACGGGCCTCTGATGCCCCCACCGGCCTGCCTGGCGGCCACCCTCCTCCTACAACTCACGAGACAAAGCGCACGAGGGACACAGCCCCTACCCGTATGCTTCCCGTCCCCAGGAAGTAGGGCCGGGACCAGGTGACCACCCGTGACTCCCGGTGCAGGTACACGGGCACTCCGGAGTTGTGGAACGTCATGATCCAGCCATCGGGCAGCGGCTCCGTCGGCGGTCGGCCACGGCCTGCGTGGGGCAAGAACAGCTGTGGTCACAGCCGCGTGGGCACCGTCAGGACAGTCACAGTCAGCCCCCAGGCAGAAACAGCAGCTTGCTGTAGCCGGCCTTAGAGAAAAGCTCTGAGCAGGGTGGGGACAGCCCACCCCAACCAGGAGAGCCCAGGCCCGCCTGCAAGCCTGTTCCTATGCGTGCTGGGCCCCAGCCTCTGTGGGACCCGTGGGCGCCAAGACCCTCTTCACCTGTTCTAGTCCCCGGACACACCACAGAGCCCAAGCAGTACTCTGCAAGACACAGGGCCTCACTGTAGCTCTGCCACCCTGACACCGCCTCTCCGCCCGCCTCCCGCGGGTGCAGCCACAAGGGCTGGGTAGGCTCCGCTGGGAACCACAGACTGGGTCACTGCTCCCTGTGACCAGATGGCAAGCCTGCACTGTCCCGAGCTGCCACGGACAGGTCTGGCTGCTGGGAGATGCACAAGACAAAGACTCAAGGAGAGCTTGCTTTTCTTACCAGTATTGGGAGCAAGTGAAAAACTCAGAAACAAAAGCAAAATGCCACGTGGAATCTAAAAAAACACACGAGATGAAAACAGCCCCACCAACACTTGTGGGAACGGAAATGACTCCCTTGTGTCAGGTCTGACACCTGCACGTGGCTGATGCCAGGCGAACACCAGTGTCAGGACGGCCCTGGGAGGGAGGGCAAGGCTGGGCACGCACAGTCACCCCAGGCCCATGGGCTGGGCCAGGAGCAGCTGCCTGCAACCAGCCCTGGGTAACCGAGGAGGAGGAGGCGTGTCCGTGACCAGACCACAGCCCACGCGGCAGACACACGCCCGGCCCCTCCAACGGGTCTGCTCTGTGGCCGGGAGACGGCGCGCCGGCCACTCCTCAGTTCCTCCTGTCACGCTGGCCACCTGCACGGTGCTCAGCGGAAGGCATCACCTGTGTGCCCAAGTCCCTCCAGCCCCTTCCCATCGCCCACCTGACACCAAAAGGCACCCCAACTGCTCTTCCCAGTGTACCCATGACCCCTCCACCTCTGCCCACATGTGAGCCACGGGTCTGCTTTCAGAACAGACTGTGGAATGAGTTCTGCCTGCTTCCAGCAGCTTCCCCAGTGCTCGGCACAGAACCAAGAACTCAGACAGGGGCCACGAGCAACCCCCACACTCAGCACTGCCTCTGTCTGCAGCCTCCACACGCCCGGAAGCCCCCTTCCCATACCACAGCAGTGCGTAGGGTGTGTCCTCACATTCCAAGCTTCCCGTCACCGACAGGACCCTCCTGCCTGCAGATGCACACGGCCGCCCAGACTGCCGCCCGGCAGCCTGAGGGCTCTCCCAGCGCAGCATGCGGCTGAGCACCCTCACTACTTCCTGGCCCGACTTACTTTTGAGCACGGTTTTAATCTTGGTCATCATTGGCTGAACGCTCGTCTCCCCGTCCGACGGGTGGTCGCTGTCTCCTCCGTATTTCTCTTCCATTCGCCTCTTTTTGGGAGCACAGAGGCCCTCTTCCAGAAGAGCATCAACATCATTGTCAAAATCATCCTGCAAAACACACTGTTCAGAAACCGCGGCCCCTGGCACCCACACTCCTGCCCATGGGCAGGCGTCAGCGACAACACAGAGAGGAGGTGGTCTCGGGGGCCTAGGGGCGCCTCTGTGGCGCACGAGCATCTGAAAAACAAAGAGGATGAAACAGCCAGCCAAAGCACACGCTCGTGACCAGCAGATCGTTCCAAGTCGGCTGAGACACGGGTACAAGGCAGACCTGTCAGCCAAACTCTCTGTTAGCAGAGCTGGGACCCCTGGACTCCTGACGGCTTTCTTTCCGCGTGGACCTTTCTACCTCCAGTGGGTTTTTTTCCTCTGTAACATCGCAACATGGGCTTCCCAGAGATGCTGCAACTCCCAAACACCTCTCTTTGGGTTTTGCTAAGAGTGCTCCAAAGGAGGGGATGCCGACATACCTCGTAGGAGAAATTCAAGGCCTCTTCGTCCACTCTGTCTCTCTGCGCGATCGCTTTAGCCGTGAACCCGCCTGCGCCTTCTTCCTCTAGCTCCAAATTGTCAGTAAAGTCTTCTAACTCATCGAGCACTGCGTACTCCACTCTCCTTTCCTGATCCAGCTCATGCTCCTCGTCCCTCCTACCCGCACTCTCACCCCCGGCGCCTACCCCGTTCCCCGCGCCCCCGCCACAGGGACCAGCATGCACGTCCCCACTGACAGGGCTGAGGGCCAGGCCACACTCTGCCCGCACGTCGCGCTCCGCTCCCGTGTACAGCACCTTCCTGTCCTCACTCCTGCAGCTCTCCGTAAAGCTCACGCTAATCTTTACATCCTTAAGCAACTTAAGGTCAGGGGAGAACTTCCGGACCGCAGGTGCGTGCCGCGCAGTGCGCGGGCTGTGGCCACTACAGTTCGGGTCTACGAGGAGGCGGGCCTTAGAGGAGGATCCTTTGGAGAGAAGAGAAGCTCCGTAGAAGTTGAGCGGGTCCTCGGCAGGGGGTTCGGCCTGTCCATCACCACCAGAGCCAACGTCCATTACCTCTGCATCACTGGACGTTTGCAGGGGAGGTGGTGGAGACTGTCCACGGGGCAGCGAGCGGAGGGGGCAAGCTCGGTCCTCCATCGCCACTCCTCCTGCGGGCTCGCGTGGGAGAGGAGAGGGGCTCTCACATGTCTCCATAGTAAAGTGGTTAGGACTACTTTAAAAGACCAGAGTTTTTAAAAACCTGACATAACTCTAGACAGCTAACATGCACAAGTCCGTCGAGACCCGGGTGCGTCCTGCCCGCGCTGCACACGCTGGCGGCTTAGTCAAGCTGGCCACATTGCTCTTTTCATTAATGTAGACAGCTTTTAGAACCACTGCCTCAATTATTGGAAATCACAATGCACTCAGCTTAAATGACTGACGACTACGCGAGTCTGTCCTCAAGCCGAAGGGGCACCCGTCTTCCTCCACCTGCAAAGAGACGTAAAGGCGTCGTCACACAGTGACAGAGACCTTCCGCTTCCTGGCACCGAGAGTCCAGTGCTACGGACGGTGCAGTAAAGACTTCAGTGACACTGCCTGAGAAGAGCACCTTCTACGCTTCAGAACAGGCGAACCTGACTCCCTTCTTCAGAACCTAAATTATAACAAAAGTCCTAAGTCAAGTGTTTTACTAGTTGTCCACTGTATTTCCAACTTCAGAAACACAAAAACCATATTATAATTAGCTTCAAAAAGGATTAAAAAAACCAGGACTCCTCCACTACACTGCACCGCGGCACTCCCCTGGCTCGGCTCAGGTGGCCGCCCTTCCACAGCACACTGGGGTGTGCGGCTTCCCTCCAGCACCAGTGATGTGGGTCCACTCACCTGCGTGGGCCGGTCAGTCACAGGGCAAGCGGGCGGCCCTCCGCTCAGCTCTGCGGCACTACGGCCTCAGAGGCACGGCTGGGGCTCCGCCACCCAGGACCCCAGGGCATGGGGGCAGGGGCAGGGATGCAGCGGGCTGGGCGTGGCTCTGCTCCCGGACCGGCCGGGCGGGCAGGGAGAGGCTGCCGGGGCCGGCTAAGCCCAGGCACAGGAGTCCCGGTGGCCGCCTGGAGCCTGGCTCCATGAGGGGCGACAGGGAGGCCGGGGGTGAAGGGACCCTCAGGCCACAGTTCAGTCCCTAAGCAGAAGGGAGGCCCGCACCCGTGAGAAGAGCGGACACAGAACTGACCACACTGCTGAGTGGGTGGAGGCCGAGAACAGGACAAGGCAGCCCCAAAGACCAACAGGGAGGGCCTCTCCCCAGGGGACATTCAGGCAGGGCCCGCAAAGAAGGGTGCTCGGAGCCTCTGGGCAGACCCGGCCAATGCGGCCGAGGCCATCAGGGTGCGTCGGCCAGGCAGTCACCCAAACCACAGGAGGGGCCGCCCAGAGAGCGAGGGCAGACCAGGAAAAGGGCTGAGGACGCAACCCTGGGGGGTCTGCACCGGAGGGAAGGCACCAGGCTGAGAAGGCAGGGCGGGGCGTCCAAACACAGGGCCGCGGGAGGGGGGTTCCAGCAGGGCAGAACACGTGCAGACACGCACGCAGGTGCACACACGCACGCACGTGCACACGCACCCCCACGCCGTGCAGACCGCACGAACATGCCATGCACATGGATGCAGACACACATGCGTGCCCACACCACTCGGGGCGGCTTGCGGGTTGCAGACAGACAGGAAACAGCAGACACCACACGTTTAAGAGGTTACAGTGGAGGGACAGGACATAAAAAACAAAGACTTGTTTAGATGTAATCAATTCATCCAACAACTATTCACTGACCACCTACTCTGATAGGGGTATCAGCATGAACAAGGGGGCAGCAACCACTGACCTGTCTTCTACTTCCCAGGTCCCAAGGTGTCCTCATGTTTCTGAACACAATACCTCCCCCGCAGGCATGTCTGCCAAAAGTGCTAAGGACCAAGGAAACATGGCACACAGGTGATGACGGACGCGGAACCGGGAGACCACTGAGGAGGCACCAGACGTGCACAAGGACCACCGAGCGGGGTAAGGCCAGTCTCCTGGCACCAAGAAAGCTCATTTCAGAGGACAGACAGGTCAGCACACCCAGCACTACAGAACACAGACATGACCAGGACCAAAGCCCTGGGCACCAGGCAGGTCTGCAGAGACCCCAGCAAGAGCCCACCCATGATTCTGGGGGCCAAAAAGGCTAAAACGAAGAGACGTGAAGAGGACGGAGACACCTCCGGCCATGTTCAGAGGCTGAGAAGCTCAGTTTAGAAGCTAAGAACCAAGATGATAATGATGAAACCTGGTGAAGGGAGGCCTTGAAGAGGCGCCCAGAGTGCAGGCTGGGAGCCGTGGCGAGTGGTCCTTGGAGTTTGGGGAGCCGCCTGGCCCTGGGGCAGCAGTGCGCTGAGGGCTCCGCTGCAGGCTGTCCCGAGCACACTCCTGACCTTCCCTGTTCGCTATCTGCACCCGTCAACGCCTTCCATGTGGCGCACACAGAACACTGCAGATGCCAAGGACGGGAGACAGACAAAACCCCCAGCCCCAGAGCTCACACATTAGCAGAGAGACGGACAAGTAACAACTAAGAAAAACTGAGACACGTTCAAGAGAAAGCAAAGCAAGGAGTTGAGGAAAGGGTGGGAAGTGAAGGCCTCACAGCCAACACCCCCTGAAGGTGGAGGAGGGGATATTCCAGGCAACCCCGAGAAAAGCAAAGGCCCCAGGGTGGAGCACCGGGTGGTGGATGACAGCAGTGTGCCCGGGGGTAGAGGCCAGGGCAGTGAGGGCAAGGGAGACCAGGACTGAGAGACGGGCCCCTGGAAATGAGGGTCTAAGCGGTGAGGTCACACGATCCAAGGTCAGCAGTCGCAACCAACCCTCAGGCAGGCCCTGTTCTAAGCATGTTATGCACTATCACTCACCAGTTCTCACACAGCACTGTGAGAAAAAGGTTAAGGACAGAGAGGTTAAGCAACTTGCTCAAGGTCACACAGCGAGAAGGTGGTGGAGTGCTTTACCACTCAGGCAAGGTAGCTCCGGTCTGCACTGCCTTGGTATTAGACTTACGGTTGAAAGAACAGCTCTGTGTCCAGAAAATCCCTAAGTGGGTAGATAATAGGAGGCACAAGGTTGAGAGCAAAGAAACAAATAAAGAGGCTCACCAGGCAGCCTGGACCAGCATGTCAAGCTGGAGGTGGTGAGAAACTGCCCTGAGGAGTGTATGGAGGCCGAGGAGACTCCACACTCAGGGACAGAGGTGTCGCGCGCAGAGGTGGTGAAGTCAGCGTGGGGAGTGTTCGGGCAGGTGAAGATCATAGCCTAGGTTTAGACATGGCTACTTGGCACCAAAGTAACACGTGGAGGTGTAGAAGAGGCAGCCAAAAGCGTGCAGCTGTCAGAAGGGAGGCCGGGGCTGGAGACGGACATGCAGGTGTCAGGAGAGACAGCGTTAAAATCAGGGACTGGACGAGATCGCCAAGGAAAGGAGCGCGATCCTACAAGAGGCCAAGACTCACTTCCCTACCCTGAAGTCACAGTCAGATTATCAAAGCCCGGGGACGTGCCCCACACGGTGGCCGGGGCCACAACAGGCTCAAAGGCTGGTCCTCCTGCCATTGCTACTGCTCCAGCTGACAGCACACAGGGATGCAAACCCGGCTCACCAAGTGGACGGTGAGCCAGCAGCAGACTTGCAGCAGGCACCCCCAGGTCCCAGCACAGTGTAAAACCAAGACACTCCGACAGCGCCCTTCACTTGAGTCCACTTGCTGGGCTGGCGTGGAGGCGCCGTCTCGGATGGTCCAGTGCTGTGGCTGCCGCCTTTCAGTCAAGCCTCTCGTTGCAGCCTTCCGCCCAACCCAGCGTCAGAATGACCTCACCCGTCCTTTTCTCATCCTGTCAGCCTCGCATCCCACACTCACAGGCGCCACTGCTGACTGGCCATCCCCCCCTCTGTGGGGTGACCGACTGCGGCAGGGTTTCTGGCCCGCTCTACCCTCCGCCCAGGACTGGAGTCCAGTCAGCGGCCAGGACACAGGACACCTGTCTAGCATTTGGGGCCTGGCACAGTCCCCTGCCCGATCCCGGACTGCTGGGCGCCGGGTAACCGAGGCACATGCGAGCATGCAAACAAATCAAGTTCCTACCCTGAGCAACCCAGGTCCATCGGAGGACACCTGGCAGGGACCACTGTCAACAGGTGGTCACCTTCCACTTGTTTCAACCCCCGGGTCATTGTTACGACAAAACCACATCCCGATCGTCTACGTGACCCTGGGTCCGTGAGCAAGTGGTGGAAAAGACGGGCGGCTTCTCAGGTTTCCCAGGCTCTCGCGGCCGGCAGGGTCCCGGGCCGGCACCGCCGCGGTCGGGACCTTGCCCGCCCGAAAGCCGTCTACGGCTTCGGGTCCACGGGACGAGGGGTCTCCTCACACCCCGGGGCCGGCCCGCGCGTAGAGCGAGTGGCGCGGCGGCCCCCGGCCCAGACCGCAGCGGGCCCCGCGCCCGCGCCCGCGGCGCCTCACAAAGGCGGACGGGGGACTCGGCGTGGCCAGGCCCGCCCGCGCCCGCGCCCGCGCCCGCCCGCCGCCCGCCGGCCCCGCGGCCTCGGCCCGGGAGCGGAAGGGCGAGCCTCACGCAGGCCACAGCGCCGCCCACCCGCCCGGCCGCGGGGCGCCCCTCGCGCCCCGCACCTACCTCCGGCGCCCGCGGCCCGCCCGCAGCGCAGAGCCTCGCGGCCCGGCCGCCGCCGCCGCCCTCCAGAGGGGCCGCGCGGGCGCTCTTCACTCGGCGGGACCCGCCTGCCGCGCGCGGCGAGCGGAGGGCGGGCCTTGGCGCGCGCAGCCAATCGTGCGCACGGCCTGCCCGCATTGGGGGAGCCGCCGGGCTGGCTGCGGAGGCCGCCAATAGGCGGCGCGCGGCGCTCGCGGCCGCGGAGCGCGGCCCAATGAAATGCGCGGCTGCGCGGGAGCGACCGGGCGCTGAGGCGGCCGCCGAGCTAACGGTCGCCGCCGGGGCGGGGCTTGGAGCGCGGAGGACGGCGGCCGCGGAGGGCGCCGGGAATCGGGGAGCGCGGGGAACGCCGGGAGCGGGGTCGCGCGGGGGACGCCGGGAGGGAGGGCGCGCGGGGGACGCCGGGAGCGGGGCGTGGGAGCCCATGGCGCGCCTCGGGCCTGGGAGAGACCGAAGGCACGCCGGCCTCCACGCTTCCCCTGTGAAGGCGGTGAGCGTAACGATAAGGGGGGCAAAGACAGGAGGGCGCCGCTGTCCGGCCCTTCTCGGCTCCCTGGTCCTGCACGAGAAGCCAGGACTGTCCCTGCCAAGGCGGGAGCTCCCCTGGCACGGAGACGGCTGCAGACCAAAGCCGGCGGTGCGGACCGAAGGCCGGACGGGGCCCGTCAGTTTGACGGCGTTACAGAGCGCCCCCACCCCCCAACACTCCCTGGCTGCAAGGCCAAGGCGGTGACTTTGCAGGAGCCAACTGGGAAGACCGCTCCGCCAGGCGCCCCAGCGAAGGTGCGCACGTCCATCATCAGAGCGGATGAAGACGTGTTGCTTTGTGTCTTCAAGATGCTTCGATAAAAGAAAAGAGGGGGAAAAGCCACTAAAGGGACATACGGAGGGCCTCCGGAGAAGGACATACTAAAGCCGCAAAGGCCAAAACCCGTGTGTAATTACAAAGACCCCGCAAACCCACAGGAGGGTCCTTCTACCCCCAAAATGGCCAGTGCTTTTCAAAAAATGTCAAGATCACTCAAATCAGAGAGAGACTGGGGAGCCCTCTAGGGCTGTAGGAGCAACAACTAAGTGTGATGAGGGGGTCTGCGCTCAGGCAAGGGTTATTAGTGGGACAAAGGTCAGCAGATTAGTTAACCATATTGTATCAATGCTAATTTCATGGTTGTAAACGTTTACTGTGGTTAGGTAAGGTGTTGAGATTGGATCTCCTGAAGGATATTGGATTCTTTGTTCCATTTTTCAAGTTTGTAGCAAGTTGAAATGATTTCCTAAAAAGAGCCAGGGGAGGGGTGCTGCAGGTCCCTAAGCTGAAGGCCCACCTAGGCCTTCCCTCTGCTTGCCAGGCTGCGCCATGAGGTTGGCACCAGGCACTCCACAGTGCGCACCGAGCCCTGTGGGTCTGGTTCTGGGACTCGGCCAGCTGCTGGCCTTGCCCAGTGCACTCAGAGCCCATGGGAACCCCCAACCCACCACCCTCCAGCTAGCTGCCTCACCACACTTCATTGCCTGGTGAGGTAGGGACCCCACCTACCCCAGTCAAACCTGAGACCTCAGCCCTGCACACTACAGCCAACTTCCCACTTGGCCTGGCACCAAGCAGGTGACAGACAAGGACCTTACCATGGGACTGCCCCACTGTCTTCAGCCAGCTCCAGCATCAGAGTCACAAAGATCAATGCCTGGAAGCTGGAACTCCAGCACAAGCTGGGGGAGGAAACCTTTCCCTCTGGGCTCTGGGTTTCCACCTCAGCCTGGCTCACTTGAGGGGGTCTCTGCCAGCACAGGAGATCAAAAGACGAGGGTGGGGGGGGGGGGGGGCGGGGAATCTGCAGACAGGAGCCCAGGCCTGATAGACTGATTAGACCTGAAGATCCCTGCATCCCTTGCTGGTCGTGTACTCACAGGAGCCAGAAGCCTAGGCCGGACAGGACTAGACCCGAGGTCCCCGAGGTCCCCCACTGGCTGTGCTCACAGACGTGCCTCTACATTGCTCAGCCCCAGGCCTCCAGCCTCTGTGCCTGCACACCTCCATTCGGCTGTCCTGGGGCTGAATAAGCAGTTCACTGGGGAAGGGGCACGAGAGACCCTGGCAGGGACTCAGGGATCAGATGCATCTGGTGACAAGCACAGAGGCCTCTTCTGGGCATGTCAAAGGCCCTTCCAGGAGACAGTTAACCCGGGTCCTGAATCCACCAAACAACAGAGACCTCACTTCCAGACACTGGCCTGAGCCAAGGGGGCATGCAAAGAGCCAGCACTTTCATCCTTGGCTCTACTATCTATCTGGCTAGGGCATCAGAACACAGGGGTGGAACAGAGGAAAGGTCTTCACACTCTTGTTCCTACCGGGAGACACACAAGCAACACTCGGTCAATGCACAGCCTGTCAAGACAAGGGCTTTCTGTTGTGCAGCAGAGACCAAGACAGGGAGGCTGCCTCAGACAGGGTGATCGTCAGGACTTGAGCAAAGACCTGCGGGGTGGGGGAGGGGGAGTGCGGCATGGGCATCTGCGGGAGGAGCCCTTCAGGCAGAGGGAACCTCACAGCAAAGGCCCTGGGGCAGGAGCAGCAGGGAGAGCAGGGCAAGTCCAACATGGCTGGACCCCAAGGGCCACCTGGCCTCACCCTGCCCCCTCCTGGCCTGCGGGCTGCGGGGCTGTCCCGGTGTCTCCCCAGGTGTGTAAAACAAGGTCACAATTTTTCATTTTGCTCGGCTGCCAAGACAAAGTACGCCAGTGAGGGGCTCACACAACAGAGATTTATTCTCCTGGTTCGAGGCTGGCCGTCTGAGGTCGCGGTGTCCATCACAGGCCCTGCTCCCTCTGAGGGTTCCCAGGGATGGCAGGCCCCCCTCCCTGCGTCTGGGGCCCCCGGGCAGGAGGCAGCTTGGCCCCAGCCTTTGCAGGTGTCTGTCTGTGTGCCTGCCTGTGCCTGTGTGTCCCTTTTCATAAGGACACCGCTCCTACCAATTCTCTTCTGACTACATCTGGAAACACCTGACGAGGTCACTTGAGGGGCCGGAGCCCAGCGTCATCTCCCAGGGGGCGCCCAGGTCAGCCCAGATCCACAGAACCAAGTCGGGAGTTGCTTCCTCGGGCCCGGGCTGCCCAGGAACACAGGGCAGAGGGCCCATGGGGAATGTGGGCAGCAGACATCTGAAAGCCTCTCCGGATGGCCCTGCACCAGCGCAGCGGCACCCCAAAGGCCAGCATGGCTGCCTGGGGGGGCCTGTGAGGCAGACAGAGGGCGCTGGCTGGGCCAAAGCCAGGGGCCTGGCCAATGGTGGTTGGGCGAGACGCAGGGGGGCAGGGAGCGGCACAGGCTGCCTCACATGGGGCCACTTCCCACTGGGCCATGAGGAGTGAAGAGGAGTCAGAGGAGGGCTAGGGAGGCAGGGCGGGCCCAGGGTGTGCCCAGCCCACCCGAGCCATCAACACACTGAGGAAGCCAGGTTAGGCAGGGGTTGGCCGCCGAGGCGGAGGGAAGCTGGGTGCCCACACTGGATGCAGGACTCCAGGTGCCCGGACCCAGCTGAGGACAGGAGCACCAGGGTGCTCGTCCAAAGCCAGGGCCCAGCGCTGTGCAGAGGATGGACGCCACTGCCCCCTTAGCTGGTGCAGAGCCCCTCCACCACCCGCGGGACTCTACAGGCCTGACCCCACGGCTCCCCAGGGGTGCAGGGCACCACCTGCACCAGGGTCTGCGGACCAAAAGGGCAGCTCCCCAGCCCACACGGTCATTCTGTCTCACAGTCGAGGCATGGAATGCACCGGCCTCAGTTTTATTGTCAGCGTCCCCCATTCACGTACAGAGTCCTGCGATGTTTAGTTTCTCGGGAGGAGAACGGCAGGGGCCTCTGTGTGCCCTCCCTGAGATGGGCCTGCCTGGAGCCCCGGAGCCCCAGGCAGCGCAGTGCGCACAGACGCCCTTCATGGACAGCCCCATGCACATGGCGCCCCTGGGCCCCAGGCTGTGTCTCTCTAGGGGGCAGGCTTTCATCCCTCCAGAGGGTCTGTCTCCTTCCAGGAGCAGGGCTGGGGGCAGCAAAGACCATGGCCAGGACAGGAGGGGCTGCGCTGAAGCGGACATCCACCCTTGTGTCTGGATCACGGCGAGACTCATGGGACGAAGCGCATGAGGATGAGAGGCACTCGCCATGAGGCCGGCTCTTGTAGGTGGCACGCCTGGAGCATGTATGCGTCTGAGCACATGTGCACATGCCTATGGCCTGCAGTGTGTGCACGCCTGCGTGACGTGTGTCACATGGGGCTCTGCACACGGGCAGGGGAGGCCCAGCACCCTGACTGCAGGCCGCTGTCATTTCCAGGGCCTAAGGCTGGACCCCGAGCTAGACCCGAGGACACAGGCAGTTCACACAGAGGGCTCTGCCCTGGGGGACGTCGGCCAGGTCACAGGCAGTACCTATGACAGGGCCCCGGGAGCCCCAGCCACAGTGGCTGTGGGCTAGCTCTGCAGCCGGAACTCATGGGTAGTGGTCTCCCAGCGGGTGGGGTCCGAGCCCAGCATGCTGCGCTCCGTGAAGGTCACATGCCCGTCTGCATCCACAAGGATGACCGTGCTGGTCCTGAAAGAGCCCAGGGCCCGTGTTCCGTCCCGAAAGGTGCAGATCGGAGGTGGGAGGGGCCTCGCTGGGCCCCGGCCGGGCTCCGGTCTGGGCGCTCTCAGGCCCAGTGCCTCTGGGCCTCAGGGCGGGGCGGGGGGGCACTGAGCTGGGGGCCCCACAGGTTTCTGCCCAGCAGGACCACCCCCCCACCACTTGGCCAGTGGGTCCTGAGCTGACTAGGCAGAGCACCCGGGGCTCCCAGCACCACCACGGGGCTCCCAGCCAGGGAGGGCAGAGGCGGCACCTGCACCTGCCTGTCGTACCTGGTGCCGTAGTCTGGGCAGCGCACGCACACAGCCGCATACTTGCTGAGGATGGGTCGCACGTACTCCCTGCCCTGGGCCTCAATGGCTGGGTCTGGCAGCTGCCTGAAGGACAGAGGCGGCGTTCTTGCTGCCAGCCTGCAGCCCTGCAGCACCCGGGAGCCCACCAGACTGGGTGGGGGAGCCACAAGAGCTGCTCCCTGCATGTCCAGGTCAGGGCCCGGAACCCCCACTCAGCCTGTTACTCGGGGCTCTGCTGTAGGGGCCACGGGACAGCGACTGCCAGCCCGTTCCTGTGCCAGGCCCCCCCAGGGCTGCCCGGGGCCCAACCACACAGGCCCCACGAACTGAAGCAGCCGGCTCACAGAGCCTCAGTGTGTGCGCGGGGGGCACTCACGCCTCATCGTTGCTGAGCACGCCCAGGAGCTGGGCCACCAGCGCGTCCCTGGGGAGCTCCCGGCCCCGCTCCACGGCCTCCAGGAAGAGCTGCTTCCCGAAGCACAGCTTCCTCCAGGGCGTCTCCAGCAGCGCGTTGCTCAGCCCGTAGGTCCCTGCAGGAGGCCAGGGGTTCTGCCAGCATGGGGGCGGGGGGACGGTGACCCACACTCCACCCACCCGCACACCTCCGTCTCCAGGAACTTGCCAGCCCTGGCTGTGGGGAGGGCTCGGGTAATCGGAATCCACCAGGGGAAGGTCCGTCCCTAAGTAGGGGGGCCCAAGGTGGGGGCCGACTGGGAAGGTTCAGGCTGGGAACCCCGCAGCCTCAGGCCAGGAGGCTGCCCGCCAGGGTCAGCCGGGGTCAGGGAGCCCGACCCTGTGATGCCCCAGGTGCCAACACGTAAACTGGACATCATCAAAATTTTAAATGACGTGCTTCAGAAGACACCAAGGAGAAGGTGGGAAGACAGGACAGAAGAAAACATTAGAAAAATCAAGTATCTGATGGGAGACTTGTATTTAGAATACATAAAATAATTCTTGCAGTTCAATAACAGAAGATGACCCAACTGAAAAATACAGACAGGACTGAGTAGACATTTCTCCAAGTAAGACACAAGAATGACCAACAAACAGGTGAAAAGTTGCTTAATGTTATTAACTACCATGGAAATGCAAACCAAGGCCACAGTGTGACCACATCACACTGGGGACAGCTGCGATGAGAAGTCAGCCAGTGACAAGTCTTGGCGAGACTCGTAACGTTGCTGCTGGCAATGTAAAATGGTGCAGCTGCTTTGGGAAATAGCCTGGCAACTCATCAAACGTTCAGTTACTTTATAATCTGCCAACTCCACTCGAAGTACCCACACAAGAGAGATGACGGTACCCACACTGAAATGTGGGCACCTAGTAGCGGGGACAGCCAAGCGTCCTTCAGTGGGCAAGGGATAAATGAGGCAGAAAACCCACAGGATGGAATACTATTCAGTCACAAATAGGAACGGAACCCTCACACCACAGAAGGATGGACCTTGAAAGCGTTCCTCAAAGGGAAAGGCCAGACACAAAGGCCGGTACTGTCTGCGCCTGTCTACATAAGATACGCGGAGTGGGCAAACCCACAGAGAGAGAAAGCAGACGGTGGTCTCCAGGGCTGGGGGGTAACAGCCCCAAGGCGTGAGCTTCCCTTCTGGAGTTGGATTTTGATGGCGGCTGCACCACTTTAGGGACAGTGAAAGCGACTGAAGGCATACTGTAACGGATGGGCTGGATGCCATGTGATCACGGCTCTATGGAGCAGTTCCTTTTTTTCTTTTAAAGTAACATGGAGGACTTCCCTGGTGGCTCAGTGGTAAAGAATCCATCTGCCAATGCAGGAGACAGGGGTTCGATCCCTGACCCAGAAAGTCCCCACGTGCCATGGAGCATCTCTGCCCCTGCGCCACGACTACGGGGCCTGCCCTAGAGCCCCTGCTCCGCAATGAGGAAAGCTACCGCAGGGAGCAGCCCACACACTCCAGTAAGAGCAGCCCCACTCGCCACAACTAGGGAGAGCCCGCGCAGTAAGGGAGACCCAGCACAGCCAAAAATGAATAAATAGACACAATTTTTTAAAGAAACAGAAAGCAACAGGGATCAAGCGAGGTAAGCTCTGGGACGACACAGCAGTGGGAAGGTGACAAGAATTCCATCCCAGCAGCAATTTGCAGATGGGCAGCCTCTCTGGGCGTGGCTGAGGGCAGCATGGGGGGGTCCTGGCGCTGCCACAGGGGTCACAGAACTGGGGGCACCAAGGGCTCCGCGTGGGCGGAAGCAGCCCGCCTGTGGGCCAGGTGAGGCCACAGCCACCACTGGCCACAGGGGGCATGAATGGCTGCAAACAGCCCCAGGAGAGACACCGGCTGAGCCCCAGGCCCAGAAAGCGGCAAGGGGCCCTCAGGGAAGCAGCCCACCCTGCGCCCCCCGCCGGGGCGGCCTCACCTGGCACCAAGACGACAGGCTCCCGCTCCCCCCGGTTTCCATAGTAGCAAATGACGTCTCCCTTCTCTGTGCTGCAGCCGAGGGCAGAGAGGGTCAGCTGGGGCCGCCAGGGCCACACCCTTCCGCACAGGCACCACTGTTACGAGCTACCTGTGCCCGATCAGCCCGACACCTCTCTGTGCGTCAACACGGGCCTGCCCACAACCCGACTGCTGCGTCCCTGGGGCCCCCGTAGGGCCCAGCAGCCCGGCTCCTGAACCTCACGGCCAGGACGGATGCCCAGGGCTCCAGGGCCCCAACCTCCGTGGGTGAACAGCTCCTCCCGCCTTGGGGACAGGCTTCCCCCCGCCTCTCGCTGTCCCCCCACCCCGGGCGGGGAATGCCCCTTGCCCCTTGCCCCACGTCCTCTGCCCACAGGGCCCATGGCTGGCTTGGCTGGCGTCGCGGCCCCCTGGCGGCTCCAGACAGACCAACAGACAGCTCCCAAGCCCTCAGAGGACCCGGGGTCACCGCGCTGCCCTCGGCCCCATGCCAGGTAGCGCAAGGGGGCGCCCCCACCTGAAGACCCACCTCAGGTCAGCTGCAAGGAGGTTGAAGCCGTTGTACAGGTGGCCTTCGGCCGAGACCTTCTTCAGGTAGGACAAGCTGTCCGTGTCGGAGGTCAGGAACTGGGCCGCGAGCTCACCTGTGGCGGGACGCACGCCCACGGGAGGGCGGCAGGACTGAGCCCCTCCCCCGGGAGACAGCGGCTCCCCGACCGGCAGCCCAGGAGCTGAGTGCCGAGACTGCTGACTCTGAGCATCCTCCTGCTGAGCCCCCGCGAGGCGGTCCAGCACAAGGGGATGTCAGGGGGACAGTGTGTGTCCACAGGCCGGGGGTGACCACACAGCGGTCAGGAGCCAGGCCGCAGCCAGGCCGAGCTGGCTCCCGGCGTCACCAGCCAGGGGACTGCAGAGCCCCTCTCCTCACCCCACCTCCCGCCCCTGCAGTTGTCCGCGAGCCCGCAGCCCCGTACCTCGGCCCCGGGCATCATGGTTCAGCCGCGGCTGCAAGTAGTTGGTGAGCGCGGCCAGCTTGCCCCGCGTGCTGACACCCAGCCACGTGCCACCCTCCTTGCCTTCCTCCATGTCCAGCCCTGCAGCAGACGACAGTGTCACCAGCAGTCCTGGGGCCGCCCAGGACTCAAACTCTGCGGGACGAGGCAGCCTGCAGGCCCACAGATCTGCGGGGTGACCTTCATCAGGGACAACACCTGCCGTCCCTGGGACCTCCGGCCCCACACACACATGCTGGCACCTGGTGGGCGTCAGGCTGGGGCACACACAGCACCAGCTCTGCTGCGGGAACCACGCCAGGCCCCAGCCAGGTGCAGGAACACTGGCTGTCGTCCCTGGGCAGGACCAGGCTTCACTGGGAGCCCTCCTGCTACAACCTTCCACGACCACGGGCCCACCCTGGGCAGGCAAGGTGGCTACAGCAACCAGCAATGAGCTCCTAGGCCGGCGGGGTCACTTGCTTGAAGACTGGGGTGAAAACAACTAAGTCACTAACACATTATTATTACAACACTAATAAACTGTTATAGTACGTGCTAAGTCGCTCAGTCATGTCCTACTCTTTGCGACCCCATGGACTGTAGCCTGCCAGGCTCTTCTGTCCATGGGACTTACCAGGCAAGAATACTGGAGTGGGTTGCCTTATCCTCCTCCAGGGAAATTACAATAGTAGAACTAAAAGAGAGAAAGATCTGAAAGAACTATTGAAATAAAACTGCCCTTATTTGTACGTGAAAAAGATCCAAAAAGAATCTAAAAAAAAAAAAAAAGCCTTCCATAACTAATGAGTAAATACTAACAAGAACTGGAAAATGAAAATTTAATTATCATTTACAAGAGCACCAAATGATTTTCAAAACACATAGGAAAATGTTACAGGAAAGACGTGTGCTGAGGACACGTGTCAGGCAGACCTGACTGAGCGACGAGCCCTGCTTGGCGCCCAGTCGCTCACGTGGCCAAGAGGAGCTCTGCCAGCGCGTGGACAAAGGGGAGCCCTCTGACACCGCTGGGGCAAGTGCACGCTGGTGCAGCCACTATGAAGAACAGTACGGAGGTTCCTTAGAACACTAACACAGAACTACCATACAATCCAACAAGGCCAGTCCTGGGTATGTATCTGGACAAATTAACGTGGAAAGACCCACATACCCCAATGTTCACTGCAGCACTATTTGCAACAGTCACAATGTAAAAGCACAGTAAATGTTCATCAACAGATGAATGGATGAAGATGTGGTATATTTACACCATGGAATACTATTCAGCCATAAGAAGAACAAAATGATGCCATTCGCAGCAACATGGGTAAAACCCAGAGATTGTCATACTGAGTGAAGTCAGTCACACAAAGACAGACAAACACCACCTGGTATGGCCTGTACGTGGACTCTAAAATACGACCCAATGGCTAAGACTCTGTGCTCCCAATGTAGAGGGCGCAGGTTCGATCCCTGGTCGGGGAACTAGATCCTGCATGTGGCAACCAAAGATTCCCAATGCCACAACTAAGACCCAGTACAGCCGAATAAATACGCTAAAAATAAAATGTGACACAAATGAACTTATCTACAAAACAAGCAGACTCACAGACACAGAGAACGGACTTGTGGTTGCCAAGGGAGTGGGAGAGGAAGTATGGGTTAGCAAAGGCAAACTCGTGTATATAGGGCAAATAAACAGGGTCCTACCACATGGCACAAAACACTATACACAACATCTTGTGATAAACCATAACAGAAAACATTATGAAAAAAAGTATATATGCACATATGTAAGACTGAATCACTGTGTTGAACAGGAGAAACTAACGCAACACTGTAAACCAACTATAAAAAAAAAAAGGATGACAGTTCTCTCCAAATGACCAAGAGTGACCACAATCAAATGAAGACCTGGCAGGCTGGCGTTTCACAGAAATCACAGACCTAAGCATAAACAAAACCAGAAGGCTTCCAGAACCACACAGAGGAAGGTATCTTTACAATCTCACGATAGGCAAAGACTTTGGGTAAGACGCAAAAAAACCTATGACAAACCTAGACAGCATATTAAAAGCAGAGACATCACTTTGCCAACACAAGTCTGTATTGTCAAAGCTATGGTTTTCCCAGTAGTCATGCATGGATATCAAAGTTGGACCATAAAGAAGGCTGAGCACCATAGAATTGATGCTTTTCAACTGTGGTGTTGGAGAAGACTCTTGAGAGTCCGTTGGACTGCAAGAAGATCCAACCAGTCCATCCTAAAGGAAATCTGTCCTGAATACTCATTGGAAGGACTGATGCTGAAGCTGAAACTCCAATATTTTGGCCACCTGACACGAAGAATTGACTCATTTGAAAAGACCTTGATGCTGGGAAAGATTGAAGGCAGGAGAAGGGGACGACAGAGAATGACACAGTTGGATGGCATCACCTATTCGATGGACATGAGTTTGAGCAAGCTCTGGGAGTTGGTGATAGACAGGGAGGCCTGGCGTGCAGCAGTCCATAGGGTCGCAGAGAGTTGGTGATGACCTTGCGACTGAACAACAGCAAACCCAGAATGTTCCTTGGCCGTGCCCACGGGCTCCCCTCAGTCCTCCTCCAGTGGCTCCCACGCCTTTGGGAAGCCAGGCCAGCCCAGGCAAAGACCCCACACACAGGGCTCAGGGCTCAGGGTCCGGCCCGCCCCACCCCACCCCCAGCGCTTTCCCCACCTCCCGCAGGACCTGCTCCTTCTTCCGGCGCCCAGCCTCCTCTGCCCAACCCTGCACACAGGAAGCCTCCATGGATGTCCGAGGGCCCTGGCCCATGCACACGCACACGCCCTTTGGGTGCCGGGAGCTGCTCCCAAGGGGCCCGTCTGCTCCACAGGCCCCCCATCGGCCCCCAAACTCCAGCGGCGCCCCCTGGGACCAGGGGTGCTTGAGGGTACCATAACCGCTTGTGGCTGCGCATGCGCATGTTCCGCCAGGCTGCCTCAAGGACAGCGGCCCGGACTCGTGCAGGACCAGCCCCAGCGGAGGGTGGATCCAGGTACAGCCCCCACCTTCTGGCCGCTTCCCCGGGGCACCAGGCGCATGGAGGGCGGCGGGGACACTCACCGCTGAGGACCTCGTTGTTGCTCCCCCAGAAGTCTGCGGCCCTGGCCGGCCGGTGGTAGAACTCGTCCCTGTTGGCGGCCAGGATAAGCCTGAGGAGAGAGCATGGAGAAGGGTCTCACGAGAACTGGAGCATCTTGCGTGGGCGGATGGTCTCGGGGGAACTCCGGCGGTCTCATGTGGGCAGACGGTCTCTTGGGAACAGCCTTGGTTTTCCTCTCATTACCAAGACAGCGGTGCCTCAGTAGTCAGGACGCAAGCCCACAGAAAGGGGAAAGCGGACTTGGCCCAGCCCCACTCCCCAGTCACCAGGGACAGGGCACCAGGCGCCTCCTCTGGCCCCTGGGCCCCTTCCCTGAGGACGCCGTGAAACCCCCAGCAGCACTGAGGGCGTCCCAGGGCTGCTCTCTCCTGCACTCTGGGGCGTCTCTGGGAGGGGGCAGCTGAGGATTTCTCTGTATTCCCTTCCTGTTTAGTATTATGAATCATAGAAGTATTTATTTGGCAACTAGAAAACATGTTGATGTTTTCAGAGCACTGGTTTTGAGGTAAGAAGTTTCTGGTCAGTTTTGCCATTTAAAGTAACTGTGCGGGAAGAGCCCCTGGAGAAAGGCATGATAACCCGCTCCAGTACTCTTGTCTGGGAAACCCCATGCACAGAGGAGCCTACGGGGCTACAGGCCATGCAGTCGCAAAACAGTCCCATGTGACTTAACGACTAAACACAAGAAGCTGCTCCTCTGCCTCCCAGTTTCTCGGCTTTCTATCTAGGAAGTCCACGGCCACGAACAGCAAACACAACCTCCCCAACAGGTCTAAACGAACATTCAAAGCTACCCTGAGCTCTAGAGGGACTTCCCTGGCAGTTCAGTGGTTAAGACTCCATGCTTCTGCTGTGGGGGGTGCAGTGTGATCCCTAATCAGGGAACTAAAATCCTGAGTGAGGCTTGGCAGGGCCCAGATACCCCAAAAGACAACAGAAACAACTCCGCACACAGGTGGTGGTCAAGTGGGTGGGGTCACCCTGAAGGCTCCCGGAGACCCAGCATCTGTTTCTGATGAGGGACCCTGCGAGCAGCATGGGCTGGTGTGGAGCCAGGGACCAGCCTGTACCCCTCAAAACTGCCCAAGAGTACCATTCACATGGACGCCTGACTCCATGAACGCTGACTTGTGGGGAACACTGGCTTGTGCACCCCAACACCCACACAATTATCGTCTCAGCCAGGTGATCAGCTCGGGGCCCCCGGGGGGACGCACGTGATGGCTGGCGGAGCCTCCGCTGCTGCAGGGGTCAGTCCCCTGAAGCCACAGAACCAGACCGCCTGGTCTCACCTGTCGTGGGCCAGGGTCACTCTCCTCCCGGAGGTCACCTGCAAGCTCTGGCCATGGGCCCATCCAAAAGCAGCAACCCCTTTGAGGTCAGAACCCCCCCCCCAGGACACACCCCCTGTGAACTCGGGGTCACCTGATTCAAGATTTCCATCGTTTGGCAAAATATGGAGGCAAAGTGCTGGGCAACAACAGGCACGGGGCACAGGCCGGGACCTCCCACCGCGGTCATACCCAGGCAGGGCATGGGGGTGGAGCGGGCGTGTCGAGCCAAGGGCAGCCCCAGGAAGGCCCGACACTAGTGCGTGTGGCCGGTGCGCAGCCTGGAAGGCAGGTCAAACCCGAGGGCACCTGAGGGGTCGTGCCAGGGGTAATGGCAACGGGAGGTGACGTGAGGAAGGGTGGGTGCCCCAAAACAGAGGGCAGTGGGGCGACAACACAGGCGCAGTGCAGGGCACAGATGAGGGGTCCAGACGGCCTCGGTCTGGAGCTCCTCTGCCGAGCCACTCATGCAGCCCAGGCCCCCCTGCACGTGCCGCAGCCTCCCAGATGTACCCCAGCCCCCCACCAGCCACGCTGTCTCCCTCCCCCCACACCCCCGAGGGCGCTCTGCCGAACAGGCCACAGGACACGTGCTCTTGCCCGGTGGGCCCGGATCACAGGAGAGCTCGGCAGCGTGGCACCAGCGCCATCGCCCCCTTCCCAGGGCTCTGCAGCAGCTGCGGGCCCAGGGTTGTCAGCAGAAGGCACTGCAGGGACGCTGCTGGGGAGAGGCTTTCGCTCCCTGACTCGGGGCACAGCCCAGGCGGTGGCCAGTGCAAGCGGGCAGATTCCCAAGTGCCCAGAGAGCTTCTGGCCACCCAGTGTGGCAGCCCGGGCTGGGGCTCAGCCCGGGGGTGGAGGGCGGGCTCTGCCCCCGGGCATCCGGACCCCACAGTGGCTAATAATCCCACGCTAGAGCTCCCTGCTCTAATCACAGTCCTAGGGCTCTGTCCACTGGCTGGACCCCGACTCCCACCTAGCTCTGCTGGGGGCTGTCGAGAGCCAGCCCCAGCCCCCAGCCTGGCCCTGCAGCCTACTCCCCCGCAGGAAGGGGATGCTGGGCACCATTCATTCCCTAGCCTGGAGTGAGTGGCCTCAGCCACACGTCAGGCACCCAAGGAGCAGCTGAGATGGCCCAGGCCCCGGGACAGTGGCGACTGCCTGGAGTGAGTGGCCTCAGCCACACGTCAGGCACCCGAGCAGCAGCTGAGATGGCCCAGGCCCCGGGACAGTGGCGACTGCCTGGAGTGAGTGGCCTCAGCCACACGTCAGGCACCCGAGGAGCAGCTGAGATGGGCCAGGCCCCGGGACAGTGGCGACTGCCTGGAGTGAGTGGCCTCAGCCACACGTCAGGCACCCGAGGAGCAGCTGAGATGGGCCAGGCCCCGGGACAGTGGCGACTGCCTGGAGTGAGTGGCCTCAGCCACACGTCAGTCAGGCACCCGAGGAGCAGCTGAGATGGGCCAGGCCCCGGGACAGTGGCGACTGCCTGGAGTGAGTGGCCTCAGCCACACGTCAGTCAGGCACCCGAGGAGCAGCTGAGATGGGCCAGGCCCCGGGACAGTGGCGACTGCCTGGAGTGAGTGGCCTCAGCCACACGTCAGTCAGGCACCCGAGGAGCAGCTGAGATGGGCCAGGCCCCGGGACAGTGGCGACTGCCTGGAGTGAGTGGCCTCAGCCACACGTCAGTCAGGCACCCGAGGAGCAGCTGAGATGGGCCAGGCCCCGGGACAGTGGCGACTGCCTGGAGTGAGTGGCCTCAGCCACACGTCAGTCAGGCACCCGAGGAGCAGCTGAGATGGGCCAGGCCCCGGGACAGTGGCGACTGCCTGGAGTGAGTGGCCTCAGCCACACGTCAGTCAGGCACCCGAGGAGCAGCTGAGATGGGCCAGGCCCCGGGACAGTGGCGACTGCCTGGAGTGAGTGGCCTCAGCCACACGTCAGTCAGGCACCCGAGGAGCAGCTGAGATGGGCCAGGCCCCGGGACAGTGGCGACTGCCTGGAGTGAGTGGCCTCAGCCACACGTCAGTCAGGCACCCGAGGAGCAGCTGAGATGGGCCAGGCCCCGGGACAGTGGCGACTGCCTGGAGTGAGTGGCCTCAGCCACACGTCAGTCAGGCACCCGAGGAGCAGCTGAGATGGGCCAGGCCCCGGGACAGTGGCGACTTTGCAGCAGCTGCACTGGTGACTCGTCTGTGGTCGGGGGTCACAACCCAGCTTCCCTCTCCGTGTGGATCAGTGTTGGGGGATCCCCACCACGGAGCTGTAAGACAGACGGGTGCCCCCCAGAGCCAGCAGCCCCTCCCTGGCCTCAGACTCCTGCCTGCTCCGGCGGGTCCCCCAGTGCCCCTGACCCCCGCACAGGTGGCCCTCACGATGCTGGCTGCCTGCTGGCCCGGAGCTCCAGCCCCCAGGCCAGTCTCCCTCGCTTCCACTCTTTCCTACTGCCGCCAGGTCCCCAGCTGGGGGCATGGGGCTGTGCGCACATCCACTCCATCCTCCGTCCTGCCCACGCAGCCGTCTCCAGCGGCTAAGTCTGAGCACCTCTGCACATCGACTCGGGGTCCCTGCCCCAGGAGGAACCCCCTGTGGGGCCCATTGAGCAGCTGCTGTCGGGGAACCAGGGCGCTGGCCTGTGCCCCCACCCCGCATGCGGTGCCCACGCTGGCTCCCGAGGACGGTGGGCTCCCGAGGCCGAGCAGGACAGTGGGTGCAGCCCGGGGGGGTTACCTGTATGCATTTTTGGAAACAGGGCGAGGATCAAACTTAAAGAAGATGATGCACATGAGTCCCAAGGGCGGGCTTGGCTCCAAGGGTCACGAGCTCTGCAGGAGAAGGAAACATGTTGAGTGAATGGCAGACGACAGGAGTACCTCCCCAATCGGCAGGCCCGCCTTGCCCAAACTGAGCCAGGCTTCAGTGCCCAGACCCTTGCTGGACGAGGGACCTGAGTGGGTGCATGCTGCGATGCTCGCCCGTCTCTATAAACGTGCTCTGAGGCGGTGGCCAGACACTTCCCCGAGGCCAGTGACCTCGCTGGCCCTGGTGGCTGGAGATCGCTCCCGGGTCTGGGGTCTGAAACAGAGCATCTCCCATCTCAGGACTCACAGGAGGACGTTCCCAGCACACCAACCCACCTTCAAAGCAGGCGAGCAGGTACGGGAGCCCTGGCCGCCCTGCTCGGAGACGCCGAGGAGGGCCGGAGCCCACGGCCAGCACCAAGGCCGCGACCGCAGTGCAGAGTCATGCGGCAGCCGCCTGGCTCACGGCCTTCCAGCGGCCCCTCCCCTCACTCCCCTCACGGGTCTGATGGAATGGCCAGCAGGCACTGGATGCACCCGGAACTCTCCCCGGCTGTGCCCACAGGCCCGGCGGGACCTCCAACTCAGCCCTGTGCTCGTCCAGGCACAGGTTTGCTGACGGCCCAGTCCACCGACCTCTGCTCTCAGTAAGGCGCCATGGCCATGCAGCAGAGACGCGGCCATGGTGACCAGTGCCGTGTGCGGGAGCCCAGGGTACCACACCACACACAGCGCACACACAGAGGGCCCCCGGGTGGTGTGGACAGGCCAGGTTCCCACCCATCAGGGACCACTGGTGCCCAGCGTCCCAAGAGTCCCCGGCAATCCCCATCCTGTGGGCAGACCACTGGGACCAACCTCCTTGGTAAAAGTGACTCAAAACACTTGAAAAAACATGGAAAATCCTCAAAGCCAAGAACTGACAAGGTCATGCAGGATTTAGCTGACATCTGAGAGAACACAGAAATCCAGGGAAGAAAGACAGCAGAGAATGGTGCCCATTCCTGCCCCAGGGGCCGCCCATGGCGCGACCTGGGCTCTGGCGGCCTCGGGGATGAGGAGACAGGGACCCAGTGTGCCTGCACGGCCACACGGGGGCTGCAGGGAAGGTGCACAGAAGTGAGGGGGTCTCTAAGAAGCGCCATGTGCAGAGCCAGGGACGCCCGTGGTGCCTAGGGACTTGGTCTGAGGTGCGTCTGCACTGGCAGGGTCCCTGGGCACACTGAAGTGTCCATCTTCATCCCAGACTTCCGAGAGTCTCTGGAGTGATTTCCAGGACAGAGAGCAGTGCGGTGGAAAGACCCGCATGACGAGATGGCGCACCGCGAGCAAGAAGCGGCAGGGCCCCCCACGTGTCCCACGACCCCGCCCGTATGAGCACAGGCCTCCCACACGTCCCACAACCCCGCCCGTCTGAGCACAGGCCCCCCCACGTCCCAGGACACCGCCCTGGGTGCCCGTCTGAGCACAGGCCCCCCCACGTCCCATGACACCGCCCGTCTGAGCACAGGAGAGGGGCTCGGGGCCACGTGTGCGGAGAGGACAGCAGGGGCCTCCCAGCGCCAGAAAGACCCTCCAGAAGCAGTGGCCTCAGGGACCTCCCTGCACGCCCAACACAGGGGCGCGGGTTTGATCCCTGGTCGGGGAACTAAGGTAGGGGAGCCCCGCAGCAAGGCCGTGAACAAAAGAGAAGAAACAGCCACACGGGTGAGCGTGAGACCTCAGCTGACGGTGCTGGGGCAGGTCAGACACAGAAGATGGGACAGTCAGCGAGATCACCCAGGAGGCAGGGCAGGGAGACGGGTGGCCGCTGGGTGCCTCAGGACCCCAGCATCCCACCTGCCCCATGACCAGAGTGCTGCACCCGAGACACAGACCCCCGCCCGCCCGGGGGTTGCTCACTTCTGGACACACGGACGCCCCAGGCAGGTCAGCCAGGGCCATCTGCGGTGACCAGGCTGGCAGCGGGCAGCGGGAGGAGCCCCGCTGGGTTCCTGCCAACCCCCAGCCAGGACAGAGGGCCGCCTCACCGGGAACACGCCACGCTGAACGTGCCCTCCCTGGCCTGCCCTCCCCCACCATGTCTATCCCAGGCTGTGTGCCGGGGCCCAGGGGTGGGGGGGGACACCAGCCACTGCTGAGCACGGACGCAGAGCCCCTCTTCCACTTGGCTACAGGGCCCCCGCGGGGGGTCCGAGCCACCCAGGGCGGGGGTAGACGAGCCCCCAGGAGGCAGCGGTGAGCAGGGATCCCAGTACCAGGAAGGCCGCAGCGGGTCTCTGGGCAGGTGTGGGCGCGGGCCCAGGGCTGTAGCCTCGGTGCAGACGCGGTCATCGGGAGGGAGGGGCCGGAGGAAAGCCAGCCCCTGGGGAGGGGACCATCAGGAACTGCCTTTCTCTCCAGTCCCTCGCCCCCCACTCAGCAGGCCTGCTGCCCCGGCCCCTCCCCGTCCCAAGTCTCCCTGCCCCCCATGCCCTCCTCCAGTGCCTCCTCCCAGCCTGCCCTGCCCAGGCCCTGTGGGCTCGCAAGAGGCTCCATATCCGCTCTGGGGTCTGAGTCCTCCCTGACAGCCCCGCTGCCATCCAGGGCTCCCAGGGCAAGCCCTGGACACTGCACTGGTGTCGCCCCACAGCCCCGCAGCAGGGCACGCAGGCGCTCCCCTTTGCTTGCTTCCCGAGACTTCCGAGGTCAGGGCGGGGCAGTGAACCGAGGGCTCAAGGTCCCAGTGCTCCAAGTGAGCCGGGGCTCCTCCTCTCTGAGTGACACCGAGGCCGGGGTCAGGATGAGATCATCCTGAAGGACACCGGGCCAGGGGTGTGGGGACATCGTTCCTGGCCCTCTAGGGGGGTCCCCACCCTGCCCAGCCCAGCTCCACCTGCAGCCCAGGGTGCCCACAGGCCCAGGGCAGCCTGAGATGTCAGAACTCTGTGGTCCTGGTACAGCCCTGAGGGCCGGGTGGGCGCATGGAGGTGGGCGAAGCTGGGGGCACCGAGCGCTGGAGGAAGCTGTCCAGCCTGGCGGGCAGGGGGCCTGCGGTAGTGACAGCCCCCTGCCAGGGGTGCCAGCCACAGTCGGACACCAGCCGCCCACCCTCTGCGGGCAACGGGGCTCGGCCCGCGGCAAGCAGGGTGGCCAGGGGGACCCAGACCGGGAGGCAGGGTCCCCACTGATGGGGCGGCTGTCATGGAACTCAGCTCTCTGGGCTCGGGACATGCAGATCCGGAGCAGAGCAGGCCGCAAGGCCACAGGCGGGGCAAGGACAGCGGCAGCCAGTTCCCAGGCAGGCTCCTCAGGCTCCTCCCACACCAAGTGCCGGGCGGTGTCGTCGCTGAGCCCACATGCATCTCGCTGGGGGTGCAGCTAGGCCCCAGACAGGTCCCTGGGGAAGGAAGCCCCCAGACAGCAGCGGCCTGGGCTGAAAGAGGACCAGAGCATGGAGACTGAGAGATGGCTGAACACCCAGGGGGAGGGAGCGGCATCCCTGGGTAACCCAGGAGTTTCCGGTTGGCTGTGTGCTTCCAGACCTTTCTCGGCAAAGTACAGTGCATACCGGAGTCATCACTCACACAGGACCCCGCCACCCCGTCTTCCTGCCCACTGGCCGTCAGTCCGTGCCCCCTGTGGCAGGAGGTGCTCTGTGCATCTGCTGGCCGCTGTCCCTCAACACGGTGGCCGGGGGGTGGCCCTGCCGCTGCCCGAGTTGTCCCCGTAAAAACCTGCCCATCCTCCCAGAGGGCATCTCTGCATCCAAGCTTCATGGCACGTGCCCCCTAGTCCCAGAGCAACACCCCTTTCTCCTGAGCTCCACACACAGCTGCCTTTAGGCTCCATTCTCGGACGTGTCTGCCCAGGTGGAAGGCGTGAGCCAGGGACCCCCGTGCTCCCCGGCGGAGGTGTCCTGTCTGCACCACCAGGCCTCCCCGGATGCCCACCACACGACTCCTTGGGGTCGAGCTTCGGCACGCGCTGCACTATCTCGGGGCGGGAGTCCCCTGCTCAGCTTTTCACAGAAGCCGCTGACACTGACGGATCTGGCACACCAGGCGCCCGTGTTTGTGAAGTGACACGGGTGAGGAAGTCCGCTCCCGGAGCCGGAGGCCAGCCTGCCTGTCTGGGGACCCACAGGGGTCCCCAGTCTCAGTGCCCGTGGCAGGTCCACACCCTGATCTGGGCGGCAGCCTGCGGGGCTCGCTCTGTGCCATCCCACGAGCTGGCCGCTTAGAACAGGTGCCCTTCCTGAGGGGAACCGGAGCACCCTCCCAGAGCTGCCCACGAGAAGACCTCGACAGATCCTGCCCTCCTTCCCCACGGGCTCTGAGATGTTCCGGAGGCGGGCAGGAAGAGGGGTTCTCAGTAGACCGGGGACGCCAGATGCAGCCCCGGCTTGGAGCGGCCAGTGGCCAAGAGACTGGCACAAGGATTCATGCACTCAGGTGGCCGCTGGCTGGGGTGGGGCCTACACCCTCAGCTAAAGAAGCAAAGAGGGCACCTGGACAAGGGGGCATACCTGGGGACAACAGGGAAACACCTGGGGACTAAGGGACACAGCTGGGAACCAGGGGCGAACACCTGGGGACAGGGAACACACCTGGGGACTGGGGGACACACCTGGGGACAGGGGGACACACCTGGGGACTAAGGGACACACCTGGGGACCGGGGGAACCACCTGGGGACAGAGGGGAACACCTGGGGACAGGGGGGAACACCTGGGGACCGGGGGGACACACCTGGGGACCGGGGTGAACACCTGGGGACAGGGGGACACACCTGGGGATGGGGAGACACACCTGGGGACCGGGAGACACACCTGGGGACCAGGGGGCACACCTGGGGACGGGGGGGCACACCTGGGGACCGGGGCGGCACACCTGGGGATGGGGGACACACCTGGGGACCAGGGGGCACACCTAGGGATGGGGGGCACACCTGGGAACAGGGGATACACCTGGGGACGGGGGGCACACCTGGGGACGGGGGACACAC